GAGACAGGAATTTGTAAAAACATTGTCACTGAAATAAATTCCATATCTAACAAAAAATATTATATACCCTCTTTCTCTCCAATGCTTTATTTGCGCATTATTTCAAGAAAATCACAAAACTCTTATTATGTGAGTAGTGTGTAATCGTTTTCAGATGCCTGAGTAAATATGAATAAGAATAAATTTCCCCCAAACAACCAACAAGTTCATAAATAATTATCCCTTTCAGTGACGTTGTCAGTAAGTACAATTTATCTTTTAGGATGGATTCTTCATATATCTATTGTGTTTAAAAACTAGTGAAATTTTCAGAGTTTGAAGAGGACAATATCATTAAGTGATGGTAACAGTAAAATTAAATATAACCCTTTTATTTAAGTCACAAGGTCCAGTCAAGTTCAATATCATTTTCTAGACATTAAACTTAAAAAATTCTAATCAAGCAATGCCTACTTTTATTATCTAAGATCGAACGATTTTATTTGAGCATATAAAAAGAAAAAAAATCAAATAGGCGAAACTTCTAAATAAAAATTAATAATTGAATCAAAGTAGATATTTGTTATTCCGAGTTTCCTCTATTTTTCTTAATTTTTCAGGGATTATATTATTCATTTGTTATATTCAAGACGTGTACTTCAGTTTGAAACATGGCGAATTACCAGACTTGAATTATGTGCCATTGAGAATACTAGTATTACTTAAATATTAGCTGCATCAGTTCCTTTGTTGGCATACAATTTAAATATTTTCGTCCGAAAAACGACTCCAGTTCGTTCGTTTTTAAAAATGATTGGGTGTATAAATATTGGACTAACAATAAGTATGAAAAATTTCAGTCAGTATTTGAGTGATAAATTATATTTGCTGACATAATGTCATCATTTTACCTACTATAGAACGTACGAATTATTTTAAGCAAGACTGCTGAAATTCTTGATTCATCAAGTTGTTTGTCAATAATTTACCTCTTTTTAGAAATTGTTCATACGTAGAGCTTGCTCTTGCATATCGAAACAACTGAGATATGGAAACTCCGTATGCAGGTGATGAAGGTATATTGATGCACAAGTAAGGGAAGGGAATGATAGGAAAGTTTAGTCATAAAGCTTGGTTGTTAGATTACCATTAACGTCTTTTTCAAGTAAAATATCCAAATATGAAACAGATGTGTCAGACTCTGTGGTATCTTTTATCTTAAGCGCACCAGGATGTATCATATCGACACAAGAAAGAATATAACCATTGTTAATTGACAATACGTCGTTGATATAACTAAATGTCGATTTCAAGGCCACAGCAATTATTTTCTTCTTTTAATACAAAAATAGGTCTGGTAATAACGGGGCGCAATTGGTATCCATGGGAATTCCAGTAGATAGTTGGAAGGCCTTGTCTCTAAAAACAGCAAAGATATTGTCAATCAAAAACTCAAGCATCTTTTTGATATTATCTTCAATGTACTTATGTGTACAATCAGAATGTTTTTAGCAAAATAATTTTGCAAATGACCAATGACAAGACAAGGTAAGTAAATTACGACTTCCATTTTTTATTGAAAAAGCAGCTGTCAATGATATCAAGAATAATCATAGATTTAATTAAAAGTTAATGACTACCCCCCTTGCACCCTAATAGGTTTTTAACGTTTGAGAAAATGTTGGGTTGGTTTTTTTTTCACTAGAGTGAACACCCCTCCCCCTTGGAAAAATTCCTGTATCCGCATCTGACCTTTATTAATGACAATAACTCTATGAATTAATAACGAATATCTATATATTGAATTTGTTCAATCAATAGACGATCGGCCAGGTGTTAAGTCGGTCTTTTCGATTCCTAACCTTTAACTTCCTCATTTGTCAGCAGTGACAAATCACTGACAGTCTGTTAAGGGGTTTCAGCTCTTCTTTGTTCTTCTACACCATAACCAATATCATTTCCTTTCTCCCGTGTTTAAAAACTTTCCTTTATTTCTTCTATCCTAGCTTTCTGTTATTCCTATCGCTGTTATGCATGGCTTGATAGATAGACTGTGCTTGAAATCATATAAAGCCAATTTCAATAAAAAAAATATTCATGCGCGCCATCTTCTGTTGTGATAGTCATCTGTAGATCCTGGTTCATGATTGTTCTTTTCTGGCTGATCTCCCTAGTTCTTCTTTCTAGTCTACAGTAGTTGGATTATTAGGGTTGCAATTAGACCATAATTAGATATCGGAGTGCAGTTTGCTTTGTATTGTCAATATGTCTGTAAGTACTAATCTAACAAGGTCCATCTGCAACTCCCAGGGAGCTGCCGAGTCCAAAATGGAAATCTTTTTTTGAGCTTTAGTAACTACTAGTATTTCACCTTCTTTAACAAAGTTGATGGTTTTTCATACACGTTCTCCTTCCGTGTTTTCTTCTCTAGATTTCCCGCGAACTCTATCAGTACTTGGTCGCGTCTCCACCTGTATCTTCCATTTGTTAAATCAATATTGAATTGCAGGATGACAAATTGTACTCTCGAGTTCCTTTTTGGAAGATGATCATAGACAGATCTTAGTAGAAACTGGGTTCGATGTGATATATCATACCCATTTCAACTTTCTCTCTGTCGTTGTCCATCCTGTTCAAGTATCTTGGCCTCCTATTTTTTTTTCTCTGACTTTCCACATTCTTTGCTTTTTCTATTTTGTATGGATTACCAAACGTTTCATTGAGTTCTTACTTTTCACCCCCTCTCTCTCTACTAGCCCTTCAAAACACAACCTTTCCTTTGCTATTATGTCCAATTTTTTACTCATGAAATATATGGAGATAACGAACAGTATTCGATCTCGAAAGTGCATTAAACAAAACAAAATTTGAGCAGAGCAAATATGAACCTGCAAAACATCAGAGGTGGGTTCAGGTGTCATGTGGGAGTGAGCATCCCCTGCCGAACGGTCAAACCCGCCGTGTGCCCCTTGTCATGATTCCGAAATAATGGGAAAATCCGTCAACAATTCCATTTGTAAACAATGGCCTAACTATAAGTATGAAAAACGTTAGTCAGCATTTGACTGATAAATATGTATTTGCTGACAAGGTCATTGTGTCGACCATAGAAATAACGGAATGGTTCATACGAAATGATGACTTTAAACGAGACTGCTGATATTATTGTTTCAGCAACTTGTTTGTCAATAATTACCTCGTTTTAGAAATTGTTTATTGCTCTTGCGTATCGTATAACTGAGAGATATAAACCCCGAATGCAGGACTGGTAATAACCTTCAAGGTATGTTGCTGCATAAGTAAGGGAAGTTGACGATTGAAAACATCACGATAATCATAAAGATTGGTTTTAGATTACCATTAACATATCTTTCAAGTAAAATATCTCAATACGAAACATGTGCCAGACTCTGTGTTATCTTTTATTTCAAGCTAATCGGGGTATATCGCATCGTCATATCGGAATAACCATTGTTAATTGACAATACGTCCTCGTTATATCAAAATGTCGAGTTGACGACCACATCAAGTGGTGTTTTCTTTTTTCACGTATTAGATTTTGGATAAATTCTGCTTCTTATGAATACAACAATAGGTCTGCTAATAATCGGCACAATTGATACCCATGGTATCCAATAGATTGTTGCATGACCTGGTCTGCAAAAACCACATAGATATTTTCAATCAGAAACTCTAGCATTTTTCAAATAATCACGCAATTCATACTCAGTAAATTATAATGAGCACTTTATTATGTTTCACCATGAATACTATTTTTACCAAGATTTTGAATTCTTGTTTTTCACCCACGGAACTTTTTCAATAGTAATAATGTACTAATAATTGATAAAAATGACTTTAGAATAAATGTTTGATATTTTAAAAATATATTTAATGATTATAAAAAAATTCATAATATATTGAAAAAATATCACTTGTGTTTTATGCAATATTCTTATTAGTTGTATTTTTTGTAATGTTGGGATTAAAAATGTACAAAAAGTAGAACTTTTTGGTTGAAATCAGATGTCAAATATCTCAATGCGTAAAAAGGAGGAATAGTTGATTTTATCTATATCCTGTTTCTCATTTGTAATTTTTTAGTTAGATATTTTGTTTACATCAAAAGAGTTTATGCTCTTCTGTAAACACCAGAAATACGCACAAAAAATATTTATTTCGCAAATCTGGGTGTACATTTTTGTTGGATTTGAAAAATAAATAATCAAATAGTTTTTTCAGGTGTTGTTTACTTTCATACTCGGGGGAATGAAAGTCCAACACATCACGGGTATTGAAAATTAAAAGAAACATTTACCAGACATTTGTTCGACATGCGTTATTAAACTTATTGTGCCCTATGTCCAATACCCTCTCGTTATGGGGGAACATAAAAAAGTTACGAAAAATAATCCATTTATCTCCTTAATAGGTATCAACCAAGGTATGATATCAAAAGATGTCCTAAGACATAAATAAAATCTCAGCAGCTAATGTTGATGTCGATGATAACTTTTTATTTCTTAAATTTCACCTATAATGAACTTCAAAGTAGCTATTGCGCAAAAGAGAGGATAAAAAAATATACCCGGTTCGTGACCTATATATCACACCCATTCATTACGGGGTGAAACAAGCGAGTCATTGGTCAATGATGCATACATTTGTAAATCGTGTCGCTCTGTCATGCTGGAATACAGCTGGAAGTTTAAATTAAGTCGCTAGACTCATTGTAATTGTGAAAGACATGTGAATGGTTTTAAATATACTTCCAGCTTTTTATTGGTCGATTATTTTGTGTGTCCGGAAAGTAGCGGAATGGTAAACATATATTTATAGAAGGTATAAATACCCGCTGTTCTGTTGAAATGGCCGACACTTTGTAAAGCACCCGGCTTAGTCTAAAACGAGGGAATAAAAATGTTAAGTTTATAAAACTGTCGAGAACTTTAGATTTCGAAAAAAGGAAAACATTACTTGTATACTTTAGTTCCTCGTGAAGTGATTTGGTATACATATTTTTAGCTGATAAAATGTACACTTTTCAAATGTGCATTAAGGTTTTCATAAGCACGAGCATTCTATTGAAAAATGTACAACAGCTTTGTGGACTATCCTTACCTATCCCGACAGAATTGGACGCGGAGGATTTAGGTAAGTCCGGTGTTTATATTTTCCACAACCAACACTTACACAATTACCCGGTGTGCTGCAAATAAATAAATCAAATTCTATCATTTGCTATTTTCGAAACTGCATGTTCATGAATAATTACAAAATCAATAATTAGTGGGCAAGCTTTAAAGAACAAAAAATAAATTGTAACATAATGCAAATATGTGCAGCCTTGATCAGAGTATCTAGTATTGCAAGAAAGGTGCCTGGGAAATTTAAAATTTAATGATTGTACTTGCTAACATGGATATTTAATTCTCAGTGCTCCGGGAATGGATTATTATTTTCAAAGAAGTTGCTATCTAAGCCATGGGTCTTATATTTGGTTGTATAATAGGATTATCACGCTGTTATTAAATATTTCAATTTCAAAACTCAGTTGTGATCTGTCAAAAATGTTATCAGATATGTTATAAAATTTTAATTATGAATTCACCTTTAAATTATTTGGTCGTGTATAGGTAAATCTGAAAGTATGAAACTCTATCAGTGGGGCTATGATGAATGGAACATTGGGAAATTGTACATGGCCAGTTTATATTGTAAAATGATATTCAAAGGCTTCATTAAATTTGACCCACAAGCTCACGAAGTGTAAATAGTTGTATTTCATCTCAAAACACGTAAAATTTTAGCAGTTGTATTTTATTTGCAATCTAACTGTTGGATATCTTCATCTTTAATTTTTAACATGACATTTTAGCAGAAAGATATATTTTTAAAAAATATTTTGGAGCATGAAAATAAATGATCTGACATGCTTGAGAATATTTCCTCACATCGTATTGTTGTCAGTGACTCAGCCACATGCAAATAAACACACATGTATTCACGGAATACCCCCATTTTACAGAACAAATACGTACCATATACTTCCTCTTTGTTTGTACATTTATTGACATTTCAAGTTTATCCCTTTTAAGAAATTTAACAATTTGTATACAGTACTTTACATTTAAAATCGCCAGGAGCCAGAATTGCTGTATGGAGGACAATGGCTAATTGAATATGCAATGAAGATAAAAATTAAACCAATGAAATGTTAAAATAGGTGCAGTGAAGATCAAGTAGATATAATATTCTTAAAGTAACAAAAATAGGCGTATCGGTTTAAATTTTCTTTTTGCACCTTTTAACTTTGTTTTGTCTTTTAAAAGCTGCTAAACTGTTTCAAAGATATTAAATATGCGATAAAAATTACGTTACATGTTTGTTAGCTGGAAGAATACCACTTAAAGAGTTTCGAAGAAACAGGAATTAGTAATTTTTTCCCGATGCAGAGTTTGTCTTTATACAAATTCAGCATGCAGATGCTATCCTGTATAACACGTGTAAATTGTGGTACATGTATCATTAAACATGTATTTAATTTAGTGAAATAGATACATTATATATATTTTAGACAAGAAGGTTTTGAGTTTAAGAGACAAATTATTATTGATATTTATAGCAAATTTGCATGAATTTTTCATAAATATTGCATTAAAAATCTAGTCTAGCGATCAAAATTGAAATATTTTATATGGCTCATAAACCAGTATTCATGTCAAAATTAATTGAGTGTCAAAAAAGAGGGAAAAAGATGCAAGTGATAAAACATTTTTGATGATAGATAAAGAAATTTTATTTTGAATATTATTTGAAGGATTTTTTTGTTCAAGTATATTGCATGAAATGCTGAATCATAATGCATTCTATGTTTGAGCAACTGTCTGAAGACCGAATATTAATGCTTCTAAAGAGTTCAAATTGAATTAATTCTTTACATTTATTTTTATACATCAAAATGCTTATAAAATAATGAAAGAAAAAAGTTAACAATACTAATATACTATTTTGACTTCTATTCCTTTGATATGATTAAGAGATTTACCTTTTAATCTTAATCTGTGATCACAAAAGTTAACCTTCACAAGCAAACACAAATTAATTTACAAATTAAATCAGTCAGATCTGCGTAGTAATAAATTAAAGGAAAGTACATTGTTCATGATACCCCAATTACCATTGCAAGAACATTGAAGCACACCTTGCACTTAGTCAATTTCCTGTTATCTGAGAACAAAAGAATTTAAACCCAATTACTCATTGTTCAACAGGTGAGGTGGTCGTGAGTTTGAAAGAAGACAGCGGACGTTACAAACGCTCAACGGACGGCGTGTCAGTTCCCGCCAAAAATATCCAGCTCATTTTCCCATTTAATGAGGGGGTAGTGGACCTCCATTTGATCCGAACGGACGAGCAATCAGTGAATGTACCTGTGTATACCACAAGCGACCGAGGAGATATAGTCAGACAGTACATACAAGACAAAAATGTTAGTAACCCTAGAAAATAAAATGATCTTCTTAGTACATCGATAATATCTGCGCTATATACATGGTTCATTTTATCTGATTACGAATTACAATGATTCTTATAATATACCATTTCTATCGAATGATGTAACCGTTAACTAGAAATGACCTACCTTTGGCTACATTCTTGAATAATTCATTATTCAATCTACGGTCGAGTTATCTTATTTAGAAGATACAACAGATACTTAATAAATGTACTGGGTATCTACTCAGAAAAAAAATAATAAATGAACACATACACAAATGAATATTGTTTACAGTAAATTTGTTGCTTTTTATTGAAGCACACAACTATTTTTCCTTCCAGTAAAGTTTAAAGTGTAACGATGATAAAAAGATACGATTCCACGTATTATATCTGCACTTTCTTAGAGTACAATACTCAAGATATGTATTTTCTTCATAAAATTGCAAACTGATGTACTAAATATGAAGTGTACCTTTTCTGAGGCTTTGATTTTAAATGTCTTGTTTTGTAGAATGTGTTTTTCTACCAAGACGAAAGTAAATTTGCAGCTTTCTATCTAGAAACCACGAACTCTACTTCTTGTGTTGTAAGTAACCTAAAACAAATTTAGATTTTTATTATCACATGTAAATCATAATTTTATGAGCAAATTCACAATCAAAAAGGGAATCAATTCGAAACAAAGAGAGAGATTAACCGGTACTTCCAGATTATGCCTGAAAAATTGTTGCAACCACCACTGAATTAACGGTCATTGTTGAAATAAATAAATAGTGTTTGTGAATGCATTTCATCCATAGGTTGCAACCACAATAGCAGTAGCAATCACTAATGAAGAAATTAGTTGTATAGCTTGGTTTTGATAGTGGCTGAGAATGCATTTCAAAAGCAAAAACAACATTCCAACCACTTTTTAAATATCGTTCTCTATATAATGAAATAATTATTACAACTGTGGAATTTCAATGTTGTGTAACAACTGGAATTTCAGTAGTAATTGCAATGTTCTCACACACTATTGAAACAATTTTTTCCACAGTTGTTATTATTTTCATACTGGGTGCAATGAAGTATTGTTTATGAAATGTTCAAGCAAAAGTTTTTAAATAGATATTTTAAAGGTAGCTACTCTCTTGATAGTGGTTGCAATCATGAATTTGAAATTAATTCTCAATACCATTGAAGAAACTGTTCAGTATTAATCGTTATTTCAATTAACATTTGTTTTTAAGTGCTCTGTCAACCACTTTTGTAATATATACTTTTTTCAACGAAGGATATGGAGATAATGAACAGTATTCAATATCAAAGTCCATAGAACAATACAAAATAGGAGCAGAGCAAACACGGACCTCTAAAACATCAGAGGTGGGATCAGGTGCCATGGAGGAGTGAACATCCCCTGCTGACCGGTCACTCCCGCCGTGTGCTTCTTGCCATCATCGGGAAATAGCGGAAAAATGCATCGTCAATTCAGTGTGTAAATAATGGACTAACAATTAGTGTGAAAAACGTCAGTCAGCATTTGATAAATTGTATTTGCTGACAAGGTCATTGTATCGATCAAAGAAATAACCAAATGATGACTTTAAAGAGATTGCTGATATTCTTGTTTCATCAACTTGTTTGTCAATAATTTGTCCCGTTTAAGAAAGTGTTCATACGTAGAACATGCTCTTGCGTATCGAATCAAACTGAGATATATAAACGCCGTATGCAGGAGATGAAGGTATATTGCTGCATAAGTAAGGGAAGTTGACAATAGAAAAGTTAAAGTCATCACGTTTTACTTTTCTTTTTTTCAAAATTCTCTCTCGACCACTTTTGAAATATATATTTCTTTCAAAAGAGCTGGTTTTTTTCATAGTAGTTGCAGCACAACTCAGTAATAATGTTATAATGAATCAAATTTATGGAATTAGGAATTCCTTTTATTTAGTTTGGAAGCTTTGAAGATAAATCTCAGGAATATTTTCTGGAACCCAAGGACAGAAATTGCGATCCGCGAAATTCTCCGTTGTTCAAAGTACTAAAAATCAAGCACACCAATATCCAGTATGCTGATAGTGTTGTAATGGGTACAGTGATCTATCTCTCTCTCATCATCATTTCAAAATTGAAACAAATTTTCCGAAAGTGTGCAAACACAATGGATATATGCAATCTATATATGGTTCAGCTGAACAATATCTATCAATAAATAAAAAGCAAATTAAATGTCAATGGAAAAAATTATTATCACAAATACCTCAAAACAAATAAAATACAATGTACTACGTTTCCTTTTCAAATTGTGTATATTCTGTAACACAGATAAACTTCCTAACCGACTGCCTGTGTCTCAGAATTCTGAAGCAGACAGACAGAGGAGGTCTACACCAGAGTACAAGATAGAAATGCTGCTAATAGTCGATTTCTCCGTGTATAATTAGTAAGTAGCACCCACTCAGAAATATACAAGGAGCCGAAAAATAAAAGAATTATTTTTTAATTTTTTCTCTTTTATTGATTATTTTTTATTGCAAAGTTTATATAAGAAAAGTAAAATTTTGCGAATATCTCAACGTATATTGATATTTTATATATTGTATTTTGGAAGAACCTTATATTTACATCACTTATTGCAGATTTGTGTTAAATACATATTTTGTATATACAGTCATGGTTGTTCTATGGCAATTTCTTTTTTAAAAATCATATTGCAAAACATCACTTCGTATGACATTTAATATTTTGGCTTAAAAAGGAATTACAAATAATTATTTTGAGATATGGCGTGTTACTGTTTAATAAAGTACCCAATCTTCTCTGGGTAAATAAGGATTGATTTCAAAATACTCAGTGTGAAAAAATATCAAAGTTCTCAAATTAGGACTCTGAATGATATTACATTTCTGTCCATAAATCAAGTTAGATATTTGAAAATTTAAAGCATATAAAAATAATGTAAAAACCTAAAGGGTCGGTAAATTAAAATACATATAGGACATATAAAAAATCATAGCATTTATATGCAATAAATTAAAACATGAAAATAGATTGTAATGCAAAATCTCCCATTTTCAGTTGGTACACACAAAGTACGGCGTCAACTTCTGGAGAAAAAGACACAGAGGCAAAGGCTAACATCAGACAGTTTTATGCCTGGGTCATCAACGGGGTATCATCTAATAGTCTTTTTAACTTTCTAGCATGTATAATGCTTTTCCATTAATGCATGCATATAATATTTGATCCTTTTAGTGAAGTTCTGTGCATAGATTTTTATCACAGCTTATGAATTTTTGAAAGGTTAACTGATATGCACAAAATTAAATCGTGGAGTATAAAATTTTTCTGAACTATAGTTTTTATTTTTTTTTTTATTTTACACCCTGAATAAATATATAGCAGCCATTTTATAACTAACAGACCCTGATATTATGATAAACTTTTTTCGCTATAGATGGATGTAAGATACAAGAACATTCAGACCTCAGCATACACTATATCTATTGTCTTCTCCGGAATTTATATAGCAGATGTAAGTATATTGTACTGTAAACATCATTACAAGTCAGCGAAGTTAGTTGATTTGAGATGAAAGCATGAGGACATCGATTGTCCATTAGTAGAATAATTTTATAAAGACCACAATACAACGAAATACTGTATATATATAACATATTTTTTTCCCTTTTCTGATAATTTGATTTGAGAATTTTCTTTCCAAACAGGACATAATATAAAATCAGCGTTAATTAATTAAATTTTCTTTCTTTTTTTTAAATAAATAATAAACATACAAATTGCATTGCATTTTTTCTCCGATACATTTTCAACAATGAAATGTGATCGTTAAAGCATTATCCAAAACTTTTTTTTGAAAGGGATGCTAACAATGATACGAAAGTAATATTTTTTACAAGGAAAAATATCAAAAGAGTGCAAAATTCTAAATTTCATTCCCTTTCAGAACTTTACGAAAAGGGATAACAAGAAAAACTCCCTGAAATAAAAAAAAAAATAAATAGACATGATTTTTTAATGTAACAAACACTGTAAGTTTGGAAGAGAATTGACCCAAAGTTTTATTATTCATAATCAAGAGGATAAATATCTAAATGGATCTCGAAAAGTTTGCACGTAATGAACTCTTCATATTTCGGTGTTTAACTTTTAATATTATAAAACTGTTTCTTTATCAGTTTGATAATATAATAATATATACAGAATAATACAGAATTGAAATACCCCATATTTAAATCTAAACTGAAATGTTACTTTCAAAGGCCTTTAGAAATATATGTATTCAAAGCAACATGAACGGTGAAAAATGCTTTGAAAACAAAATTGATTTATTTAAAAAGAAAATATAAATATAAAGACTTTTCCCACCCTTTAAGTTTGAAAATAAATTAAAAAGGTTCACATAACCAGAATGGGCTCTCAATTTTTAAATTAGCATTGTCTAGTGATTTGTTGTATGCTTCTAAAGAAGCCCAAATTTCATTGCTGTTTGATGAATTAATAATCAAATTAAAGTATATAATGTAAAATTTGTGTAAAATACAGAAATAAAAAATAATTTTTGTCAAAAAGTAAAATAAAAACTAATTAGTAACTATTAACATATACTTCAGCAACCGTCTAAATCGCCCTTCACTGAAAATAACAAAGATTCATCCACTCCAACGCCAAAAGTGGTCGCCGGCACCGTTCTCGATGACGTCACATCCTGGGTCCAGAGCAGTTCCGGTCTGCCAAGTCATGATCATGCTATGATGTTTTCGAGGTAACAAATATCAATTACATTCGGTATGAGTAAATAGCTGAAAACCTTGTAATGACTTAAATATTATCAAGTTGAAATTCTTTTGAAGGTATGATTTCACTAGTAGTGGATCAAGCAGTAATGCAGGATTGGCCTGGGTAGGTGCCGTTTGTACCACACGAAGTGTATCTATTGTAGAGGACCACTTCAACTTCATCATATTGACAGTAGCAGCCCACGAACTAGGTCACAGGTAAACTAACATCTATATTTAAAGTGTTCATACTTGATATCATTGATACAATAATATACGTATTTTGTATATGAAAATATAGTTGTCTTCATTTCCTGTATAAGTTTGAGTGCTGAACATGATGGGACAAACAATGCGTGTAATGGCGCAGACGCGTACATAATGGCTGCCTCGTCTTCCACTCCTGATAATACAAACCCATGGAAATTCTCCTCCTGCTCCACTACATATTTCACCAACTACATCAACACACTTAACAGGTTTAAAATGCTTATGGCTTAACTATCTTTACCTGTATTTCAAATCCTCCTTGTTCGATTATTAAAAATGAAGTTGAATCTCATAAACTCTATATTTCTTATCTCTTTCTAGCGGAAGCGGAAACTGTATGACGTCATTAAGTACTAGCTTTGACCCAACTGCTCTGAGCCAATACACCAGTTTACCTGGCCAAATCTATGACGCGGATGCAATGTGTAAACACATTGTTGGACCAGGATCATCATTCTGCCAAGTATGACATGGGTTAGGGAATCACAGAAAGTATTTAAAGAAGTTTTTGCGTTAAAACGGCAAAAATGTTTGAAAAAATATTTTATTCCAACAAAAAACAAAAATTTATGTATTTTATTTGATAATCTTCATTTTTAGGGGTTGGGGGTGGAGGGGATGGGGTTAAATATGCTTTGCAAACTAGAAAAAATGTGTTAAAAAAGAAACTAATATTTTAAAGTTATACTACTAAGGGTAAGCTTACTTTGTTTCCTATTTTCATTTGAAGTTTCCATACAGCTACAACTTTGCTTCGTTATGTACCACACTGTGGTGTTATAAAACAGATGGGAGTGGACAGTGTGAATCAGCACTGGGAGGGGATGGTCTGCAGTGTGGAAATAGAAAGGTACCTCCACAGTTTTTCTGTACTAAAATATACGTGTCAAAATTGATCAAGCTACAAAAACTCTAGCTTAATTCTCTGACTTTACATGAAGTTTGTTTATTTAAACAGTGGTGTATATCAGGAGAGTGTGTTTATGATGACTGTGCTCCATCTGGGGATGGTAAGTATGCAGTTTCTCTCTCTCTCTCTCTCTCTCTCTCCATTCATACTTCCATCTTTTCAAACATCTTTTAACTTTTTTCAGAATCTTGTTTGTTTGGTGACAGAAGCGGGGTTATAATTAATTTTAATGGAGCAGATAAAACATGTGCTGACATTGACAATGAACCATCTATCTGTTATGCGGAAGGAGTAGGCAAAAAATGCTGCAAGACTTGTGGCAAGTACAGCACTGGAAGGCAAGGTAGACATTTATGGCTTTTCTAAAATTTTAAAATACCAACTCACTGATTTTTAAAATGTTGTTTACATTTCTTTCACATAGAATTTAAAATCATATCTATTACCCATAGGATGTGAATATGGTGATACAATTCAAGGATGTACCAGTGCTTATTGTCCTCAGTATGGGGATTCTTTCTGCTGTGGAACTTGCTACACTGGAACAACTGAACCATCTCCAACAACAACTCCTACACCAAATCTTTGTAAAACAACCACAACTACACTACCAACAACAACCACGCAACCATCAACACCAACCTCACAACCAACCACAACTACTACATTGACAACCACAACTACTCTACCAACAACCACAACCACTACAACGACAACAACAACCACGCAACCAATAACAACAACCATGCAACCGACAACAACAACCACACAACCAACAACAACAACCACGCAACCAACAACAACAACCACGCAACCACCAACAACAACCATGCAACTGACAACAACAACCACGCAACCAACAACAACCACGCAACAAATAACAACCACGGAACCGACAACAACAACCATGGAACGGACAACAACAACCACAGAACCGACAACAACAACCATGGAACAGACAACAAAAACAACATCTTCACCAACAACAACAACCATGGAACCGACAACAACAACTTCACCAACAACAACCACACAATCGACAACAACAACCACTATATTAACATCCACAACTACACTATCGACAACAATAACCACGCAACCGATAACAACCACGGAACCGACAACAACAACCAATACACCAGCAGCAACAACCACGGAACCGATAACAACAACCATGGAACCGACAACAACAACCACGGAACCGACAACAACAACAGAATCGACAACAACAACTATGCTACCGACAACAACCATGCAACAGACAACAACAACGCAACCAACATCAACAACCATGCACTCGACAACAGTAACCAACAACAACAACCACACAACCAACAACTACTACACCTACAACTGCTCTACCAACAACAACATCTACACTAACAACAAACACCACACCACCAACAACAACTTTACTAACAACAACAGCTTCAGCACAACCTACAACAGCCAATACACAACTAACAACAGCTACTACACAAGCACCAACAACCACTTTAACTCAAACAACAACAACTTTTACACCAGAAATAACCAATTCACAAGCCATAACAACAGAACTATCCACAACCAATGAACCAACACCATTAATGACAACAACACCAACCATAACGATACCAATCACAACCACCGAACCAACAACAACAACTGAACAAACGACAGGCATTGCACAAACAACCACAGCATCTTTATCAACAACAACCACTGCACTTGACACAACCATTAAACCACCAACACTTACAACCACTAATACCGAAACCACACCAACAACAAACACAGCAACTGAATCAGCAACAGACATTTCACAAACTACTACAACGACTGAACCTCTGACGACTACAACTACTGAAATATTAACACCAACAACCATTACAACCACCGAGGAATCAACATCTGATTTATCAGATATGACAACAACAGAAATAAAAAATTCCTCTTCAACATTGGATAAAACTACAACAGAGGAGTATGTGACAGTGTCAACAGCAGAATTGTCAAGCACAACAACAACAACAACAACAGACATTGAGAGCACATCCAGCTCAACCATGACATCTTTAGAAAGTACAGTATCAACTACCTCTATACCAACAACCACAACCACTACACAAACCACAACAACAACTTCACCGACAACCACTACACCTACATCAGCACCAACCACTACCTCAACAACAACAACCACACAACCGACAACCACAACCACACAACCGACAACCACAACAACCACACCAACCACAACCACAATGTCTACAACAAAGGAAACAACAACACAGTCGACTACCACAACTCCTGTTACTACGACAGAAACTGCCACCGTAAGACCTACTGAGAGGAGGTTTATATTTGTGATCAGGATACTGATTGTGGTGACCGAGGATCTCACTATCAGAGCCCAGTATTTACTTGTGGTGACCAGGGCTGAAGCTGCAGTGAGTACATGAAGATATTTTTTGGACTTCTGATTAATCATTATCAAGTGCATAAAAATGCAGAGTTACTCATAAAATCTTTAAATTTACCTTTTTGTTTGAAGTTGACAGCTCTTTATCGAAGAAGGCTTGGTAGACGGTTCAAAAGGTGTAGAGTAAGGAGAGTAAGGTAAGTCTCTTTGGAGAAATGAGAATAAAACTGGACACGACTGGTTCCAAAAACATTGGTCGGATAAGAAAACATTGCGGATAAGACATCATTTTAAACAATCGAAATTACTGAAAGGGACTGAGCGTTTGCACTGTATAAGGCAACATTTCCGAATATACAACATCTGGTCCAGAAAAGTTAGACCTTTTAATGTAACTGATATTATATAAACTTAACCAGTGAAATGCTTAAAATATTTCTTCTGAATTCATGCTTTTTACATAGTGATCAGTATTTCTGTTTTAGCCAAAAAAGGCAGTATTAAGAGTGTCTCTTGACAACCCTGAAAAAATTTTCTTCAATGATTCCATGCACACGTTATCTGAGATAATGGAGTTATTCCAAAAACAATAAATATTCATATTTTAAATGCCAACATTAAGAGTAAAATCCCTAAATTAGACAATTGTTAAGCACCATCTTAAAATATTTCTCTGATTTTGTAGAAAGGGAAGTTTGAACGTTGAATATGACGTCATTACTGATGATGAGGCAGAAGCTACCTTGGATGTGGTGACCGTTGCTAAAGACTTAGTGTATGGGAAAGAAAACGTGACTTACGATGGACAGGAAGCACCAGTGTCGTCTGCTGCTTATGTTGACACTTCCGGGAATAATGGTAATGATATAAAGACCTATAAAACCTATAAAAAAAAAAAAATAAAGTGTTTTACACTGAATTTACGAAAATGAATAATTTACTGAATGCAAAAATAGAAATAGAATTCGAGAAAAAATTCCCTTTTATCCACAATTTTTTTTCCAATAAAGAATCCTGATTTAATGAAAGGTTCATTTCACATTTCATCTTGGAAAACATATCACTGTTGAATGTAAAATGTAAAAAAAAAATGATATTGAATTTTATTTTAAAATCAATGTTCAGAGAACCAACCTTCTATCTATCATGCTTGTTTTTGCACTTTTTTTTTATATGGAAACAGAATTTCCAAGAATTTCTGTTATTAAATTGGAAGTGCAATCTTGAAATTTTGTACGAAAGAAATGAATCTCATCAAATAAATGCTACTTTGAAATTCTTCAGATATATTTTATTGTGGAATGAAATCTCTCAATACACTTAAGTATAGGAATTCAAATTTCAGTTGACCGTATCTTAGTACAATTATTTAAAGTTTTATTCCCCTTTCTAATAAAAAACAGATTCCACTGCATTTCCATTTGAAATTGAATGCTTTTAGTACATTGTTTATGAGAGTTTAAGACTTTGAAGTACTTTTTTCAGTAAATATAAGCATCACCACAACAGGATGTGAACTTCTTGAATCTTCTGAGCCCTGTAGTTCAGGGTATGTCTGTTATGAAGGGGAGACGGGACCCTATTGTCGGTAAGTCCGATCACTCTGTCAAACCAAAATTAAGTTTAATTTCTTTTTCACAAATATTCTAATAGTATATTTACATAATTTCTTAACATTTTCTATAAATGAAGTGCATTTTTTTTTAGATCCTCAACGAATTATGATCAACAAAGTAAGCATTTTGGTTTTTTTTTTTCATTTTTATCATGTTTTCATATTTCTCTTATGAAAATAATAAAGATGGCACGGAAGTCCTGCTATTTCGTTTTGTTGATGGTTCTTTTCATTATGTTCATCCACACTTCAATTTCTTATTTCAGTGTTGATTATAATAAGTGCCGTGGTCGGGGCGGTGTGTTTAATCATTACCACAGCAGTCATTCTGGTGTTGTGTTTATGTTGTAAAAAGCAGCAAAAGAAGGAAGAAAAACACCGTTATGGCATTGAAAATCCAGCAATGATACCGGTAAGGCACACATGTATGAAACATAAAATTCACGTAATAATAAAAGAAGAAAATATCGTCTAAATGCAATATGAAATATATCTTGGTATTGAAAGCGAATACATGTATTGCTTAATAGATGCCACAGGTTCTAGTGTATCAACAACCATGGTAATTGCGTTTTAACCTGTCAACATTTGTATTATTTAATTAAATATAGAGTATTAAATGCCACTTTAGTATAAAGATATACATATGTATAATAATGGTAAAAGATAAATGTATCAACGAGGAGTTTTATTATCATTTCTTCAAAAAGAGGCAACAGCTTTTCCAGGAATGTAAAATTAGTTCTTAGGCCTAAAATGTCATAGTATGATTTACTTATTCTGTCGCAGTTCTTATTCAACAAAGCTGCTCAAGAAAAGGTTATGGTTTTTCCAGAGAATCCAATAAAATTATTTTGTATAAGAATTTAAAATTTGATTTTTTTTTACATAAAAACAGTTTTAAATTCTTTGAACTTCTAAAATATTCTTGTTGCAGGACGAGTTTTACACTAATGGTCGACTAAAATATGAAATGGACAGCAATAGGAGCTATGACTCCACGGGTATGAGCAGTCCATTCTACGGTAGGAGGTGGTACCCTGGCTACAGTGATGTGGCGCCTAATGGCACGTGGCATCAACAGCCAATGAACAATGCCAAATACTCAATACCAAGGCCTAAATACTAGTAGAAAATTAGAATTTTAGAACTATCATTCAATAAATGCATTTTTAATTTTTTTTTTAATTCATGCTGAGTGTTCATTAATGTAACCCATTTAATATATATTATATTTACCGAATTCTAGAGAAGCAACACGTGCCAAATACATGATATTTATATTAAATTATTGTGCAATATGTTTTAGCTATGCAAATAGATAAGAATGTTCTTCTTCCATATGTATTTTTGAAATAAAGTGAGAAAAGTATTGTTCAAAAAGCTTGTTGATTTCAAAAGACGAATAAGAAATAAAGTTGTAAAGAAAAGAAGAAAAACCTAAAAAAAATTATAGACAATTAGACAAATTTTGTCATCTGGTGTATATTCTTATCACGAGGATGATACAACTCTTCCTTCCTACATTTAGTTTGTTATTATAATATTCATGCTACCTTAAAGTCTTCGTTTATTGTTTAGGACATTTCATCTTTGATGAAGGAGATAACGAAAAGTATTCAATACAAAGTCCATAAAACAATACAGAATAGGAGCGAAGCAAACGCGGACCTCTAAAACATCAGAGGTGGGACCAGGTTTCCATGGAAGAGTAAGCATCCCCTGCTGACCGGTCACACCCGCCGTGTGCTCCTTGTCGTGATCGTGAAATAACGGGAAAATCCGTCGTCAATTCAGTGTATGAATTACGGATTAACAATTAGTGTGAAAAATATCGGTCAGCTTTTGACTCAATGATAAATCGTATTTGCTGACAAGGCCTTTTGTATTCAGGAACTGTGTTCCTCTTATAACCGTGCTTTATGCATCGCAAATATTTTGATCATGCTTACTATGAAGGTCATACATTTATGAACCAAATTCCATGTAACTGTTCAGTCCAAGTCCGCTTCTCCTCTGACAAAAGAGGAATGTTGAATTATGGAATTGTTGGTGTTATCCAGTCCCCTAGGTTGTGCTAAGTTCCATTTAGAACTATGTTTTATCCACTGTACCCATTCCGTGTATGGTTTAGGGATCTTGTAACTTTATATCATTTTGATGGTCAACTTAACTTAGATCCCTCTCTTCTGATCAAACATGACAATGTAATGTTGGAATTGTGGGTGTAATTTGCCCCTTTACATACATGTACTGTATTATTTTCCATTTTTAACTGAAGTAGCCTTTAAACTGTAACCAATTTGGCCAGTCTATTTAATGTTTTTTTTTGGGGGGGAGGGGCTTGTAAACCTAGTTCACCCACCTTAATGAGATGTCTGAGGTATACTATGAGAAAAATGGTATAAACAAATGTAAGAAGAAAAAAAGGATTATTTGCATTCTATTTTCTATTCTCTAATCCTCATTCTTGTGGAGAGGAAACCACCACAGAGAGTATCTGATTAGATTTTTATCAAAATCTTTCTTAAACATGTAAAGTCATATCGAGAGGAACATAAGATCAAGTTTAATTAGCTTTCCGTTGTCCTCCCCTTTCTGTGGTCGGGACATGTAATCAACACATTTAATATTTCTCTAATAAGGATATCATAAAGTTATGCTCCTTATACATCCTGTATACAGGTCAAATACCAGATTTTCTCTGTATATTGGGGTATTCACATTTTTATCAATCGATGAATGATTCGAATTTGGTTGACAAATATTCATGGATATTTAAAAGAACAAACTAATCTTGATAAATAATTTTTTTGACATGTGTCATAAATTTTTTTTTACAAATTTTTACATTTTTATTTATTGCAAAAAGCATTAATATTTAATTCCCATTTCTTTAGATTGAGAAAATACTTATGTATCAAAAAAGGCAAAATATGGCTGTATGATTAGTATAATGCATGAAGTTTATAATTATTTCAAAACCTATTTTTTGCTGAGAACTCCATTGTATCATGTCCTTTAGAATCCTTATCTCTATAATGTGAATGATCGCCAAGATCCTGAAAGTGACGTAAATAGTAATATTAAGTATTTACTGTGGATAATTTCATTGATAATCTTGTGATCAGGAAAGATGTCTAATTCATATTTGTATATTAAAGTTTTGGTTGTTTTCTGTTCATTGGAAATTTGTTTAATACATGGATTTCATTTGCCCATTCCCAAAGATATAGAGGGCGAGGAAATAGGTATGAAATTGTTAATGGTGAATTATTATTTTATTGAGATACACACAACCTCATTTTCAAAATTTATATTATAAGCAAATTTTAAATAAACTGTCATTTTTATATGTATCATATATTATTCATTTTGTTCATGATGTTTAACATTTGACATCATCAAATCGAAGTATTGTTATTTTCACTCTCGGAATATGAAAAATATTTATATTATTATTTCAACAGTTACAGTTATATATACTAAAATTTACAAAATGAACTTTACCTAGGAGTTTTTTCTCTTTATCTCTGTAAGGTCAACTGTTTGTTAAAATATAAGTTAAGACAATATCAACCAAAGAAACAATTGGAATAATTGATGATAAAGTTAACTCGAGATATCAACTTGAGTCATGATATTAACACTCCAGCTATAGTTAAGTACGTACTATTTAAGAATAAGGCGTAATGACTAAGACATCCTGCTCCCATGTGAGATAAAGACTGAATAAAACACTGTCTATAATGACCATGTACTTTGACTATGACAACATATTGAAATTTCTGCAGTTACTACCACCCAGTAAATACGAAAATTACAAAATGACAATACATTGTATAACCAAAGCTTAAAAGCAATTTTTTATAAAGCAATTTTCCTACATAAAATTCCTGTCATTCGATCTTCAATTCAACTCGTATTTTACATCTTAATAAATACTAAATGATTTAGAAGGCAATTTAGCTAACTTTTCAAGACGTATAATTGCCTAGTAGTCATATTTTATTTTTATTTCATTTAACTCAAACGGTTTCATAACTTACATGAACATAATATATGAATACCATTTGTCGAACATAAATATAGAAATCATCATTAATATTAATGCAGTTTATGGAGATATCGAACAGTATTCAAGCTCAAAAATCCTTTCAAACAGTACAAATCAGGAGCAGAGCAAACAGAAACCCGTGAAAAATCTAGAAGGGATCAGATACAATGGAGGAGTAAGCATCCCATTCCATAAAATAGTTATGCCACTATATAACCGATTTTATACGTAAAGATTGCTTTAAATCATTACATTATGGAAGAAATATGTAATATTACATAACATTTTGCACATGAAGATGCAGAGCAATAATAAATAACATATATATTTTGAAAGGGGAATTTTATCAGGCTTTGCTTGCATTAAATGATAATTTCAAATAATGCAGGTGAAGTCAATATAAAGGTAAAAGAGGAAGGTGATCGAATTCGACGTTCAATAGACGGTGTGAATGTTCCATCCAAAAATATAATAATCACATTTCCACTTAATGATGAACTGGTTGACCTTCATTTGATCAGAAAAGACGATTTGTCTGTCAATGTGCCAGTATATACGAGCGATACAGGGGGAAACATTATCAAGGTTGACAAGAAAATACCCAGCAAAAATGTAAGTTCATAATACGGGAAATATATTTGCACTTATAATAGATTATTATGGACGTTTACACAAATATTATGACTTGTACCTTTTTCAATTCTTATTTAAAATGGGAGTTTTCTTGACAATTTATTAGTATTTGAAACTCTTTGAAAATTATAGATCACTCGAACTGTTTCTTTAAAGCTTGAATATCGGCTTTGTGATATGTTAAATTTTTTTGTTTTTGTAGAATGTTTTTTTCTATCAAGATCAACAAAAGTTTGCTGCATTTTACGTAGAGACCAGTGATTTATCATCCTGTTTGGTAAGTTGTTAACTTGATATAAAAGATTCTACAGAGTATGACACATCTGGTACATATTTGTTTACTAGAAAAAAGACTTTGATGATAATTTAGCAACAAAGCAAAGAAAAACCTGATGACTGTATTATTTTTTTGTTATCTTCCCATACTTATCTATCAAACAATTTGCCCTTATCGCCTCCATATAGGGTTTATTCTCTAAGTTGGTTCGATACACTAAACTATGATTTACGTCATCTTCGCTAGCCAAAGTTTCTGATACGCTACCCTCCTCATGTTTATGAGGAGAGTAGCGTATCAGAAACCATTGGCTAGCGAAGATGGATTTACGTATTAACAGTTTTTAAAATAAGGTAAATTATTTACAAACAGGGTGATGAATTAAGAATATCAACAGTCTCGTTTTTAAAGTCAGCATTTCATAAGTTCTATCATCGGCCATAACCTTATTGGCAAATATAATTATTATCACTTAGTCATCTGCACACTGGATTTTTTTCATACTTATTGTTATACTGTTATTTATACATTGAATTATCGATAATGGATTTTCCCATTTTTTAAATAAACTATTTCTGTGGAAATCAATCCGAACTTTGTAAAGATATTGTCTTTGCCAGTTTGGAAGCTTTGAGGACCAATCAAATGAATTCTTTTTGGAGCCAAGGGATGCAGAGTGTGGTAATTCAACGAGCAATCCATTGGTGTTTAAAATTTTCAAGATCAAACACAAACAATTTCAGTACAACGATTCTATGACAACTGGTAAGTGTTATAACAATCATTCATTCTTTTGTCATTCTTTGTCATTTAGGTAACAGCCTTCTCATTGTTATTAAATCTTTGATTTCTCTGGCTTTGTTTATACCCGTCAGGACAATCAATGATTCAATTCCTTAACTGATGTTAATGAACCCACATATACAAATAGTTTGTTTGGAAAAAAATTAAAGCGATGTTTTTTTTTTTTCCTATCAAAAATATCCATTATTTATATTTTTAATCATATTTCATTGAAGAAGAAACGCATATTCGACCAACACACATTGACTCTAGAACAGCTGACGTGAAGCGGTCAGTGACCGAGTACAAAGTGGAGATGCTTCTAATTATAGATTATTCCATTTACAGTTAGTAGGTGGTATTTAATTATTATTATTTTTTTTTGGTGTTAATATGTTATAAAACAAATAATGTTTTTTTTGTTTTATTTTATTTGTTTTTTGGTTTAAAGACTAAAGAAAATTAATACAAAAGGATGTGATGGAAGAACATTAACTGACAAGAACAAAATATGATTTCATGTTCGTTTTACCTGGAAATATATTAAATATTCGATGTATGGCACTTAGCCATCATGATCAGATCTGGTAAACTTTATTTGGTTTCAAATGTACTTTGGCCATGCAGAGGATTAAAATAAAATGCTATTATTTTTCATTTATATGTTGTTATCAGTTTGAAGAATTTTAATTTCTCTTTTCAAAAGGTCATTATGAATCAATTATTTAATCATACTCAGAAATTAAAAAAAAATTGAAATTACATGAAATATATAAAATGACGAACAGTATTCATGGTCAAAAGTGCGTGCATTAATTAATAGAAATCAGGCCTGGGCGATAAAAGATAGACGAGCTCACTTTTGATCTCAGTCTTACTTTTTCACTATATATTCCTTTGGTTAGAGTGAGACTGAGATCAAAAGTGAGCTCATGTGTGGTTTTATGGGGCCCAGACCTGGAGCAGAATAAAACACTGACCTTTAAAACATCAATGGTGGGATCAGGTGCCATGGTGGTCATCGCATCCCCTGCCAATCGGTCTGTCGTGTGTTCCTTGTCATAAACTGAATCATAAGTATTATTTATTTGCCTTAACTTCATTTGTTTGACCTTGACAGTTGGTTAACCCAAAGCGCAGCAGGGACAACTGCAACAAGGGACACAGAAGCTAAATACAATATCAGGCAATTCTATGCCTGGGTTATAAATGGGGTATGTGTTTTTATTTAAATCAGCGAAAAGAAATGTATTTTATTGCATTCATGATTGACTATTAGCCTCTAAGAGTGAATGTCGCCACAAAGTTAATAATTTTTGTGCATGAACACCGTGAATTTAAAGTTTTTTTTTAAGTTGAAGAAACAAAATAGTTATTGCAAAAACGATTTTGAATAATTTTTGTTATAGATGGATATCCGATATAAGAACATTCAAACATCAGCTAAAAACGCAGGAATCTATATAGCTGTGTAAGTAACAAAAATAAGATATTCTTAAATGTTGATTTATCAAATTTCAATTTTCAAATTTTTAATGGATTTTAAAGAATGCTAGATTATAAAACCGTGCCAAATTGTACATGCACGGTTTTAAATTTACTAAATTTAATATTGCCTCAACAATATCTATTTGATTTAAAATGATATTTTAATTTTATCCATGAAATACGGCACAAAAAAAGAAAAAGATACAAGAAGCGAATAGTGGTAAAAATAAAATTTCCAGTAAAAATGTGAACTGTGAAATAAAACAAGACTTCTGGAAACATGAATGGCGGTATCAGATGCCTAGGAGAAAAAGACAATGATTTCCCTGTCACACCACCATTTTTCATCAAAGATTGTTTAACTTTAAATTATATAAAACATGTTACCATAGTTTTTTCCCTTCTCATTTAGAAGAGTAATTTAGTTTTTAGTTAGTTTAAATCTAGATCTGTTGTTCTAATTCCAAATTTCAAAATTAGTATCTATAATGATTTATTTTGCCATTTATATTAATTTAAAAAGTGCATATATTTTTATATAAATGTCCAATAATATTCACAATGGATTTATGTTTGCACAAATATCTTCAATCACAAACAAATCAAACATAATTCATTCTACCTACGGTTATAAATGAGGATAACGAACGGTAATCAAGCTCAAAATTCCACTGTACATTGAAATAAATTTAATTTGATATTTTACGGAAAAGGTAATTAATTTTGTATAAAATGTGTTTATTTACGGTTATTAATTTAATCATTCACACTACTTTTAAGACCGCTACCAAGTCTTCTTTTACCGAAAACAATAAAGATTCTTCTAGTCCAAAGCCAAAGGTGGATTCAGGTCGAGTTCTGGAAGACGTCTTATCCTGGGTAAACGATCAATCAGGTCTACCTAGTCATGACCATGCCATGATGTTTTCAAGGTAGGCCTATAAGAAGATAGAATAACAAGTAAAATCATATAGATATATATACAATTGTATTTTAAAAGTTTACAGACAGTCTTACCAAAAATAAATAAAATAGGCGATTGGTTATATTCAGGCTAAAAATTTGAATTGTAGTTACCGTATCTAGAATATAATTATTGATTACTTTCCACTGTTTTTCTTTTCTCTCAAATTCTCTTAATCATTATGATACCAATGTGTGCGAATCGGTAATTAATCTTTGTAGTATTGTATGTTACAAAAGATACTTTTTTCTTTAAATGGCAGGTATGATTTTACAAGTGGAGGTTCGAGTGATGTTACTGGTTTGGCTTTTGTGGCAGAGGTGTGCCAATCTAAGAGCGTGTCTATTGTAGAAGATAATTTTGACTTTGTCATGATTACAGTTGCAGCCCATGAACTTGGACACAGGTACATGTACAAGTCTAAAAAATGGGTTGTAAGAATAATGCTACTGAGGAATTACTTTGTGAACTTCGTGTTCATTTCATGATTGCTCTTTTGTCCGTTTTAAAGTTTGAGTGCAATTCACGATGGAGCGGACAGTTCCTACATAATGGCGGCATCGTCCTCTCCTCCCCAGAATACGAACCCTTGGAAATTTTCATCACAGTCCACGAGCTCCTTTACTACCTATATCAACTCACTCAATTCGTAAGTCTTAACAATTTTATGATCGTTTATAATTTGTGAATAAAAATCAAGTTAAGCATGCTATAAGTATTTATGTTTTAGAGCAGGGACCAATTGTATGACGTCTTTAAGTGAAACCTTTGACCCCACTGCTTTAAACGAGTTTACACTTTTACCAGGACAGGCTTACGATCTCGACACGTATTGTAAAAATATATATGGGTCTGAATCGTCGCTCTGCAAAGTAAGTCTTGAACTGTGTAATAACGCGTAAAACTCTTATTGGCTATGCTATTGTTAATTAAGATATAATATGATAGGGTAATTAAAAGAGCTAGAACTAACTCATGCAATAAATGCAAAAATTTAATATGCATTTTTCAATCGATATCATTACATAAAAAATTACTCTCTGATATTTGGTATTTTCCTATCAAATGACTTTTCAAATTAAAAGCTATCACAAAAAATACTGAAAAGATAATAAATTTACATAACAAAATGTCAAGAAAATAGAACAGTGTAAAACAAAAGTGGTTACATATATTGCTATAGAATTACGTACAATAGCATATTGTTCACAGGCGCCATACAAGGGAAATTACACTTCAATATGTTTAACCTTGTGGTGTCTAGAGACAGGCGGATCCGGGACTTGTCAGGCCACAGTGGCGGGGGACGGCATGCAGTGTGGACACAGAAAAGTGAGGGATAAATGTGTTTCTAATTTTCAATTCATTTACTTCAAAGGGATGTAACAATTATATTTTCTTACTGTTTGCATATAAAAAGAGTTTTCGGGAAATTTTGAATTTCTTTATATATATAAAACTTGAAACAAATATACTTTATTATTTTTCTCTGTTTTAGTGGTGTATATCTGGAATCTGTACATATGACGTGTGTGCACCACCAGGAGACGGTAGGACAATATCATTTTATCTAGATCTAATTATTATAATATCAAATAATCCATTTCTTGTTTTACTTATTGTACAGCGTATACTCATATTTGAAAAAGAACTTATCCCGATCCTTCTAAAAATACATACCTTCCTATTTGACCATTATAAAGAAATGGACTTTATATACAGAATCCTGTTTATATGGTGAGAGATCTGGGAATGTATTGGTATACAACGGTCAAGAAAAGACGTGTGCTGACGTCCCCACAGAACCATACCTGTGCTACAATGGGGACGTACGGGCATTCTGTTGTAAATCCTGCCCTCGGTTTTATACAGGAAGGCAAGGTAAGTATACTGGAGAGAGACCTCAGAGAGGTGTCATTCAATACGAGGTTTTCACCTCTTAAAATCTGTAAGTACGCCGATCTATTATAAATTTATTTTAAGGGTGTGAGTATGGGGATAAATTGTCCGGTTGTTCATCTCAATATTGTCCTCAATATAAAGACAACGAATGTTGTGGATTTTGTTATACCGGATCAACACAAACTACGGTCAATACGATCACTAATGAGGAACCAGACTTATGTACAAGAACAACAACTGTGATGAAAGTATCAGACACTTCCAAGACCAACATTACTACTTCTACAGTGGTAACAGAACAATCAACGCATGCAGGCTCTTCTCAACCCAAGAACAATGTAACATTTACTTCTGAACCTCGAAAATCGCAAACACCGTCAACAGGACAACGATTATCTACTGTTTCAATAACCACAACGACAGTATCGTCTATAGCTAATACAAACTCTCCGTTAAATGAAGAAATGAAATTCACTTTTGTTTTGCGGATGGCAATAGTAATAAGTGAGAATTTGTCTGACAGCACACAGTATGCATCTGTGAAGAGAAAAGCTGAAACAGCGGTAAGATGTTTTAAAAATTTTAAAGGCAGCACTCTTATTTTTAAGGATTTACTTACAGATTAAATCAGTGATATGTAGAGATTTTTTGCAGGTAAAATTTTACATTGTCAATTGGCATGACGTTTTAACCATTCTTAGTCTTTTTTTCTACTTCATCCATGCTGCAGGTGTCTGAAATTAGTACTTTGAAATACTGGTACCTAGTACTTTATTTCTGAATGTTGTTTGTTATCTTTTCTGTCTTAAGAATGTAGCAAATTGATATTTAAAGTATCCACATCCTCCTCTCTGAACTAAAGTCCAATTGCAAGCAGTTTAATCATTTTTGATAAGAATTATGTTAATTATTTTCTTTACCTGTAATTCACAACGTAAGTGCAACTTCAAACTACGGTAAATATTATAGTATTCTTTGGAATGTCTGCGGACATTAAAACTAAAATGTTTAAATCATTGTTTGAAGGAGATGCTGATAGAGAGCGAGATAAATTAGGTTGCCTTTCATGAAGCAGAGATTTTTTACCGTAAAAAAATCAATTTAATTTAATTACAGAAATAATTATAAAGGTCTTGTGCTATTGTATTTAAGTAGGTCAGAAGGTTAGAAGTAAATATTTATGCATCCTCAGACAATCTGATTTTTTCTTTCATTAACCTTTTTCTTTTTTCAGTTTGATTAAGATTAATTTCCATGTATACTTGTTTTTACCAGACAGAAAATTTAAAAATAAAAAAATTACTTCCCTTTCATCTTCTTTAGTTGACGACTCTTTACAGAAAGGGACTTGGTAATGGATTGAAAAGCTGTAATGTTACCGGATTACGGTATGTGGCTTGTTATATGTAGTCAAAAATTGATTAACTAATGCTGAAGAATTAAATAGAGACCAAGCCATTTGGGAACCAATATCAGAAAAACATATGAACAAATTTCAATCTTAATAATTTTTATTCATAAAACTTTTGAAGCATTCAAATGCCAATCGAAAATATCCTGTGCAAAAGCCATTGCTTTGTACGATACATTTTGACGAGGTATTATTACACACATTCATCTATACATGTTAGAAAATGTTACAGTAAGTTTATATATCTGTTCTTTAAGGAAAGGTAGCTTAGTTGTTAACTATGATCTCTACACAACGAGCGATTCATCTGCATCATCAAATTTGGTATCCATTAACAAAGATCTGCTTTCTGGTAAAGAAAATGTAACGTACGACGGACATTTTGCACCAGTGTCATCTCTTTTATTTGTCGACTCCTCAGGGCAAATCGGTATTGATACATTGTCATTGATATTAATACGTGTATCACTACATATTAATACTTTTAGAGTTATGGAATATTATCCTAATAACATTTTCAAATTTGTAAGGTACTTATGTACAATCAAAATTAACTTCAGTATTTTTTTTTTTTTTTTTTTGTAAATTTACGCTTGCTGAGTATAACCCGTCCCTTTTTTTTATTGTGAAACGTTGTGATTAATTTTAGTGATCTTCACCAATTCTTCTACTGGATGCCAGATTCTGAAGGCAATCAATCCTTGTAGAACTGGATCACAATGTGTTGAAGAACAGCAAGGACCTGTCTGTCGGTAAGAACACTTATAATTAAGAAAGGATTTATATTATAAAGTCATTTTTACAGTTGTGAAAGGGAACTAAATGATTCGTATTAAAAAAATGATATTAAATAGATAACAATTAAATGTTAAAAATATGAGTAAATAAATTTCAAGTTCTTTACGGTAAGAATTACGTCCTTATGATTAATATATACTCATATATAATTACAGCATCACAAAAAAAATTTAAGGAAATATTTACCTAAGTAATGAAAACATCTTACTTTCTTTTTACTGTAGTATAATTTCAAAAGATGAAGAAACGGGTAAAAGAACAGGAAATATTTAATCATATTAAATTATCCTTTATCAGATTCGGGAACTTTTATCACATAAAAGTTGACAAGCATGATAATAAAGAACATATATTTCTTGCATGAGGTAGACCTATATTTTACAGATGCTAAGTTACAGGCTAAAATCCTATACTTAGCCGAAAACAAAACGCTTTACATAAGAATTAGTAGTTTTAAAAACATAATGATATATAGTTTGATAAAAAAATGATTGTATATAGGACTTAACAACGAACAACATTGTAATTTTAGATTTGAAATGTCATGCGTTAATTTTAGAAAAAAGAAAAATGCACACACCAAACCATATTCCGCATAATTTTAACAAGCATTAAAACTACCTTAGAATATTATATCAAATGTAATATTGTTATTACTTTAGGCACTATTTAAACATATATTACATGGAATATACAGTATATATACTGCACTATAATCCAAAAGTACGAGAAAAAAATCCACACAAGTATTTAAACAGTAAAAAATAACAGAACGCCGATTAAAACTCTACCTGTGTCAATTGTATCATCAGGAGTTTTGACACATTGCTGTAGATATCTGTATTAACATTGACAACCCTCTGATAGTATTTTCAAAAATTCATAAATGTTGACAAGCCTTTCTTATTTACATATTTTTTATGAAAAAATTAACCTGATAATTTAAATTGAACATGATTTTCGCTCAAAACGCTTTGGTATTTTTTCATCATTAGTATTTTTATTAGTATTATGTTAGTATTTTATTATCTAGTTTTCATTTCCTTATTTCAGACTGGACAATATTAATTCTGGTGGTTGCTGGTACTGGTGCAGTGGTTCTACTGTTAACGATCATAGCCATGGTCTTACTCTACAGAGGAAAATCAAACAAAAAGAAAACAAAAGAAGGAGAGTTATGATGATAGTCTGGATTTATTTTACATTCCGGAAGTGTGTGTCAATGTTTGATGTCATAATATCATAATCAGCAAGAAAGAATACAAAATAAAAAAGTTGTACAGTAACTGAATGAAATAACATTAGATCAGTTACAAAACTCCTGAAAGTTTCATTAAAATTATATTTTGTAATTTAATCTTGGAAGAAAAATATGAATTTTTAAAGGGATAAAATTTTGTATTGGATCAAACAGTCCTGTATTGCTTTATGTTTTCTGCTATTTGCACTAAATCGTTAAGAGTGCATTGTTTACTTGTATGATAAGATTATCTTAAGGCTTCCATTAAAATCTGAAGTGATATGATTTTTACAAAAAAATCATAATATTTTTTACAAAAATTTAAATGTATGCCGATATGAGATGTCAGAGATTCACAGAAATTGTCATGCGCAATCAATGGGTATTTTAAGAAACATACAAGATCATAAACAATTGATAGAAACATGTTTTCAAGAATGAAGAACAAATTCAAAAAATATGTTAATAGTAACCTAAAAACAAAATTCATGATAAACGTGATGTCTGGGGCTTTTTTATATGTAGCAGTTAACCTTTATCATCTGCATTTAGGCTTCATGTTTCTCACTTGATTCGATACGCAAGACATTTTCTACGTATGAGCAATTTTTGAAACGGGGGAACCGATGAACAAACAAGATGGCAGAACAAGTATCATTTAAAGTCATCATTTTGCAAGTTCTTTGGTCATGACAGTGACCATATGAGCAAAATCAATCTTTTTTAAAATCAAGTATTAGTAAATTATTTTCATACGAACTTTACCGTTTGTCCGATTACATGAAAAGGAGCACAGGGCAAGTGGGACAATTCGACGATGCATGTATATTTACTCGTCCATGGCACCTGGTCCCATCTCTGATGTTTTAGATTGATTTCAGTTTAAAGTATTGAAGTTAAGGGAGAGTTGAATTAATGGTTCATGAGATACTTATGTTCGATTAAAAAAGTCTTCAAATCCGATAGTGACCTTGTCAGAAAATCTATCTATCATTAAGTTGCCACTTGCCTTAAGTTTTCATATAGTTTGGTAATACGTGTACATTAATTTCACATCTAAATGTCCTATCATAACAAGGAGCAACAAATGGCACATTTAGATGTTTGAAAGAGGATGACTACCTCTTTGTAGCACCTGACCCAATCTTTGATGTTCGAAGAGATTCAAGTTTCCTCTGCTTCCCATTCGTTTCTTTTCAATTGACTTTTAATATTGATTGTGCATGTTCCTTTTTTTCAAATTTAATCATAAAGCTCTTGACAAACACTTTAAAATTTAAGCCTTCATTCCATTAAAATATATAACTAATAAATTTAATGTAGCATAAAATATCTGACTTATTTGCATTTAAAATGCACACAACTTATGTAAAAAATATAAATACTTAAGGTAGGTCCGTACTTTCAGAATTTTCTGTCAAACTGTTTATTTTTCAATTTGAAAATCTTAAATAAGTCATAATCTAACTAAAACACCCATAAAAAAACATATCTTTGCAGGTTAATTTTCATGCAACATGTCTCGGAGTATATACCTTTAAAAATTCAACAGCCCAAAATTCAACATATAGAAGTGTAACATCATATTTTATTTAGCTATGTACCAAATCACATCCAATTATTGTTAAAAATTAGGAAAATCATATATATTCATTTGTCAAGAAAATATTTGAAATTTCTATTTGAAAACACTAAAAAATTAATGTTGATTTTGTCAAAATCTTTCAGAGAAAAAGCTCAAAATATCTTTATTTTAAATATTCCTCAAAATCTTATATGTTTATATGCTATTTTTTCTTCACAATTATTTAGAATTATATCTAAGGTTAGCATAAAAACATACTTTATAATGGTTGACCAGAAAATTTTTACAAAACAGCCTTTTGAACACCTATACCCCCATTTTCGGAATATCTATTTTTTCAATCGTTCTTCGCAAAACTTTAAAAAAAGTAAATTCAAAAAGATGATATAGGCTAAAAATTAAAGATAAATAGATCTCAATTTAGTTTGTTTAAAAAAAAAATTAAAAAGCTTTCGGTCCATAAAGGCAATTAAGAATTCTCTGTCCGTGTATGTACTAAATTACATATAAATCCTATGGACAGAGTGCCAAGTGGTTATTCCTATAAATAATGTACATTAAATCTTTTGTGTGCACAATGACACTATAATAATCAAATATATACTTGCTACATTATTTTCAATCCTCAAAAAGATTTTATTTCAATAGACAAGGATAATCAAAATATTATATTGGTGTGTAAAATTAAAACCGGATCCGTAAAAGTGTGGACCTGCCTTAAATTTGAAAAAGTAAGGATGTAATTTTATTGCAATTTTGGCAACTAAAGTCCAGGATTCGTATGCATAGAAATACTAAGAATTTTCTTAAGTATATGCTTAAATTTCTTAAGCATATTCTTAGCTGAGTAACATGCTTCATTTCCATTGCATAAAAATTCTAAGCAACATACTTAGCAATTCTTAGCTAAGCATATCGCAAGATGCTTAAGTACACTGTTGTCATCTCAATAAAGTCACTTCCGCTTTCACTTAAACGTAAACAAACACATGCCATGATAAAGAAACAAGGATCGACTTAAGATGATGAAAGTATTATTCCTATTAAATTAATTATTCTTCCTCTTATAACTATTTCTTGTTATATTTTGATCACTTTAACAGATCAAAATATTTTGCTTGATATTGATGACATGTGTTATCTTATCAGAGAGAGAGAGGGAGATGAATAAACCGTGGAGGATGTAGCCTAGAGGAAAAAATTGCATACTTGAGAGGAAGAGCGAATCGAATTAATTTTTAAATTATTTTCCTTAGAATTAGAGGACATATATGGTATACAGTTTTTCCATAATGAATTTAGGTTTAAGTCCTTTCAAATTGTGTATATAATCTGTGTAATATTTGGTACTTTTACAGTTATTAGCTCTCTCTCACTTTCTCTCTCTCTTTAGGCATTAATTGAATGATAACTACATGAAAATTACGTATTATATGGGATACATGTAAGAATAATTTAACATAAATTGAAGTACACTAGTGATCTAAAAAAGGACGACTGCATTGTCACAGGTGCTGACAAAACTACACAACAATTAACTTACTTCAATTCTTAAAATGTTTTGAAAATCAATCGCTCGCATCTTGATAAGTCTATAAAGGCCAATATTATCCTAAAGTGAATTTAGGTCTAGGAAGCCACATAATAAAGTGGATAAATGCAGATTGTGATTTATACTTTAATTATTATTGTGTAATTAGCTCTTAGAAATATCTTGAGCTATATGCTTAAGGACTTAAGACAGGTATAGACCATGCTTAACTTTAAGCATATGCTGAGCATATACTTAGGAGTTGAGAAGTTTTATGCAACATTCTAAGCAATATGCTAAATATAATTTCAATCTGCTAAGTAGAAAAAACAGTTCTTAAGTAAATGCTTATGCATACGAATATGATGATTGTTTATAACGGATCTCTGATGTAAAGGATGATAATCTTGAAACATATTTTTGTTGATAGATATATGAAAAGGGACGTGGGTACTTTAAACTTCTTTTCCCGTATAATGCTGAATAAACATCGGTAAAGGAAGATTTTTCGAACAAAATAAAAAAAAATGGGGGGATGTCACAAAGGATATACGGAAGAACATTCATACAACGCATCAATCTTTCTTCCCGCAACATTTTTTTAACATCCTGTGTAATTCATATCTCAGTATATCGACAGCTATTTATTGTGGTAGGGGGTTTAAAGAATAATAGAACAGGGAATACGCAAGGAATGACAAAACAATATACCATGTGATACATTTGTTGTTTTGATGTACTCATCCATGACCATATTAATATTTAAATACTTAACCGCACTACGAACGGGTGGAAAAGTCGAACTTTTAAATTACGCAAGCCTAGGATTTGTTTTAAATAGATCACAACTGTTTACTTTTTAACGCTTTAGTCAAGTATGCGAGATGTCTCGAGTCCTGATCGTCATGTTCGGGATTGATTTAGTTCAAGGACTGTTTCCATTTACGGACTACAATGTCCGTCTCCAGTTTAGTAAGTATTCATAACTTAGTAACCTTCAGTATTTTTTTTTCTTGTTCGAGGTGACTGTTAAACGTAATGTATATATATATAATTATGTGTACAGTAAACATTGCGCAAGATAAGTAATTTAACAACGCTATACTGGAGACAACCTGCATATATGTATACGGAATAGCATACAAATGCTATTCCGTAATATACGCAAGGCTAAATGATCAAATATCTGACTTTTAAAATGTGTTTTTCTTCAAACTTATATACATCTACACTAATGCAAACAACATTAAATAACTGCTTTGGATTTTTTCTTCTATTTTATAGATGATGTCAAAGTTAATGTTACACACTTAAGAGACAGAGAAATACGATCTGCTGATTCATCTGAACAAAGTGTCATATCCTTTTACATCAAAGATGAATTAATAGAATTCAAACTAACAAGTAACAGGGGATTACACAAAAACGTGCCAGTATATACAACTGATAATAAGGGCAGCGTAAAAATACAGCATTTATCACAGCCGGAAAGTATACAACAGGTGTGGTTCTAAACACTATAGTTTACAATGACTCCTACTTTAAATTTATTGTACATTGTTAATGAAGTATAGCTTGTGTACTTATTAAACAAATTTTTATTTCCGCTTATCGTATTTGATTTAAAAAACAATATTTCAATTATGATGGATTTTTGTGTATCTAGCCCAGTTTTAACACGGAAATGATTTTTTTTTTATTTTTGCAATGTCATGCTTTAAGGACATACAAGGCTTTCAACAAACATATGGTTAACATTAACATTGAAGTATTCCAAAAAAGAAGAAAAGTTGTTAAGCACTCATAAAATCATCTTTTTGAATAATAAAATGAGTTGCATCTTTACTTAAAAATTCTTTTTTAACAGGTCAAATTTTATCAAGATGCTACAAAACATAGAGCAGCTTTTATTATGATACAAAATTCTTCCTCGCAATGCATGGTATGTTATTTTAATGGGGTTAAAATTGTCTAGAATTGTTTTAAATCTTAAAAAAAGATATTTCAAAAAAATTAATAAACCAGTGCATATTTACAGAAAACAAACTTGACAAATCTCCATCTGTTAATTTGATTTTTCATTACAATTTAAAAACAAATAAACACCAAATAACACAGAAGGCTTTATCTACGAAACATATTTACATTTTTGTAAATATAAAAAAAAAAGCTGACAAAGAGATCATTTCACATAAATTTCAAGATCCGAAAAAGATACTTTACTTACGTCTATTTTAAATGGAAATATTTATGAGATAGGTACAAAAATATTTATATGAGATTACAAGTGTAAGGATATGTTGAATGAGCTGAAATGAATCATAGTTTATCATTTTATATGTTGTTAATATCATGTACGATAATTCACCTTTTTATTGATAATCTTACCAATCTTTGAAACTTTTTTCTAATATTTTAAATATTTTTTCATCAAAATAGACAGGAGTGTTTTTACACAGAAAAAATGAGTATCTAATTGAGCCAGAACCAAAAGCCTGTTTGTCTGACTCTGGCGGAGATATAAAATACAAGGTTGTACAGTTAGACCAGACACGCCATACCTTTTCAGATCCAATTCTGCCAAGTGAGTAAAAAATTTACTAAACATTGTATTCTATTTTCATAATACAAACTTAGTATTTTAGTTTACTAATGGTAACCCTTAATGAAATACGTACACCAAAAGCGAAATAGTACGTCTGTGTATTATTTTATTCTTCTTGGCTTAAGGTTAAAACATTTAATAATGTTGAATTTTTATTTCAGTGTAAAATATAACGGTTTTTTGCTGCAAGATTTCAAGAATATTTTTATCATTAGAAATTATAAATGAACTATGTTTCTCATTTGTACGAGTTAAACTTTCAATATGTGGTTTTTAGATCTGCTTAAACATTGTATCTGTGCAATTAAATGAAAGTGTGTAATGTGAAGATAACAGCAAAAATCGATTCTTTATAAGAAGATCCTCTAATCTCAATATTCAATTTTGCATATATATATGGCACGCCAAATTCACAAAAATGAGATAAACCTAGTTTCACATTTGATAAACTAGGTTTATCGACTGTAAACTATAGTTTACAAACCGTAAACTATAGTTAACGATTCGTTAAGTATAGTTAACGATTCGTTAAGTATAGTTTTCATCTATAAAACTATATTTAACGGTTGTTAACTATAGTTAACGAATGATAATCTAAGTTTATCTGTCTGTAATAAGCGTTAACAATAGATTTTGTTGATAAACATAGATTCACTTTCGTAAACTATAGTTTACAATCGTAAACTGTAGTTAAGAGTTGTTAATCATAGTTTCACAAATCGTGAAACTTTATTTATCAGATCGTTAACTATAGTTAACGGTTTGTAAACTATAGTTTACAAATCGTGAAACTGTATTTATCAGATAATCTATGTTTTGCAATCGCAAATGATTGTTTTCGATGTTAAGTATAGTTAACGGTTGTGAAACATAGATTTTCGCGTTAACTATGGTTTACAGATGTAAAATATAGATTAACGTTGTTAACTATAGTTTACAGTCCGTAAACTATAGTTTACAACCGATAAACCTAGTTTATCGACTGTGAAACTATGTTTTGCTCATTTTTGTGGATTTGGCGTGCCATATATATACCCGCATAAAAAGTTTAAACTCATAAATAGCAGCTGATGTATTTTGTGAGTCATTTTTTTTAAAAATTAGTTTTGTGATACTCTTCTACGAAGTGTTAATCAACCATTTCTCTTCAAGCTGTTAAAACAAATTATTTAACTTATTTATGTAAAAATATATTTTTTGTTAGGTATGAACCCAGAAAATTGGCAGCATAACACGAGAAAAAGACATAGGCATAGGAGACAAATAAACGACTATAAAATAGAGATGTTTTTTATCATTGATTATGCCATTTATGAATAGTAAGATTTGAATTTGATTTAAAAAGGTACATTGAGATTAATTTAGAGAATGCATGAAAGAGAGAGTGAAAATTTGATTCAATAACCATAACTTACTGAACATTACTATAAATCTATAATAACTATGTTTTGTTATTACATAGCTGGTATACACAGAGTAAAGCAACTGGAACGAGAGAGAGGGATGAAGATGCTAAAAATAACATAAGACAATTCTACTCTTTCGTCATAAATGGGGTAAAAAGAAGTAATTGTATGCTTGTTTAATATTTTGAAATTTGTATGTCCTAAACATTTCAGAATTACAATATTCAATATATTTATTATATATATGACATATTCTATTCATTGTATTCGTAGCCTATTCATTTAGTGTTGGTTTATAAAACACACATATTTGCTATATCAATTGACTCTAATGACTTTAAGATCGGAGTTTTTTTTTAAATAAAATGTAAATTCAGTATTGCAATTTTTTTTTATATTATTCATCTTTTTTTCTTTTATTAGATGGACGTTCGTTTTAAAAACATCCAAACTTCTGCGTTCAAAATTTCTATTGTATTTTCTGGTATTTATATCGCTGACGTAAGTATGTTTTTCATAAGAATGAATGGTAATATTTGAAGTAATTTAACAGGGACATATAATTCCTGATGATAAAAAAGATTTTGACATATATCTTCAATTTTTTAGAGATGAAAAATTGAATTGATTCTTTCTCTTTGCCACCACAAAATTGTAATATTTCTTGAAAATGTTCAAAACTTTTTTTTTTTTTTTTTGTGTTTGTTTAATTGTTTTATTAATCTTTAATCATTAATTTAATGATTTGACACATATCTTTAATTTTTGGAGATGTGAAATTTAATTGATTCTTTCTCTATGCCACCACAAAATTATAGTATTTCTTGTAAAAATGTTCAAAACACTTTTGTTTTCTTGTTTCATTGTTTTATTAAGTGTTTTCTTCTTTTGTGTGCGATATTCTCTTCAAAATCTTGCATTTGTCTTGCAATAGGTCTGTATAAAACTTTTTTACCTCATCTACAGGCACCTTCTAAATCAGAGTTTACAGAAAAGTTTAAAGTTTCTACAACTTCCGGGAACCAAGTAGACTCCAATAACGTTCTCAACGCTGTGACGTCATGGGTTAAAGTAACCCCCGGTCTGCCAAAATACGACCATGCTATGATGTTTACACGGTATAATAAATAGGATTCAACATTTAAAACATTCATTTGAAAAAAAAAAGTATATCTGTTATCAAATATTAGATAACATTAAAGTTGTTAAAATGTCATTTGAATCCAATACCTCTGACTAAGGTATTTAGTTGTGTATCTATAGATACGATTTTACCAGTAGTGGATCTGCGGATACTACAGGACTTGCCTGGCTAGGAACTCTATGTACAGATCAAGCTGTCTCAGTGGTAGAGGACCACTTTAATTTCAACGCCATCACAGTGGCAGCACACGAGCTAGGACACGGGTACTTTAAATCTTTATAGATAAATGTAATTTGTATATCAATATCATACATCTATTCACTTTAATAAAGCCTCGAATAAACTATAAAACATTCAACGAATGTTCACCTTTATAAACCTGAAATTTTGGAACCATAATTGTTATATCCTGTTAGTTTTAACGATAAATTAAATACTTAATTATAACCCTTTCATGACCCGACTGTTTGGTTTTGGAAAGGTAAATTAAAGAAGAGAGAATAAGTTAAAATATTTGTTGATAAAATAACAGATTAAGTGCAAAGCACGACGGAGATGGAAACACCTGCAATGGTGCTGATGCTTACGTCATGGCCCCCAGTACCACTCCTGTGGATAACCAAAATCCATGGAAATTTTCCACGTGTTCCACAAATTATTTCATCAAGTTCATCAATAAGCTTAACCGGTATGCCACTCTATAGCTATGCAACCATACCAGTTAATTTATTTTATTGTTATTTTTAAGAATTTAGTTTTAATTTATTGAAATTGCAATGTCAATAAATGTATGTTGTTTGTATTCTGACAATAGATATTAAATCTTACTGTAACTTCCTTTCATTGACTACACTTTTTCTTGATTACATGTCCTTACGTGCAGAAATATTTTAAGTACTTTAATACTTGACAGGAACAATAATAACTGTATGAGTGTCTTAAGTCCAAACTTCAATCCTGACGCATTAAAGCAATATACAGCGCTCCCTGGTGAGATATATGATGCAGATGAACAGTGCAGACGTATTGTGGGTCCAAACTCTGGATTATGTAAGGTATGTATCTTGTCTATTCATTTTTTGACATCATTATTTTTATTCCTTCAGAAAATTTATGTGATTATGTCAAATGCAGTATCTGAATGTGAAGGAGATACATTAAAATATAAAATGGTAATAGTAGATTTCCTTATTTAATTGTGTTCCATATCTTATTATAGAGTATATACAGGCAAAACTTTGCGTCTTTGTGCACAAAATTATGGTGCACGAGGGGTAATGGAAGTAATGGTTGCGTTTCGGCAGTAGGGGGAGATGGTATTCAATGTGGGAACAAAAAGGTATCTTCTAAACCACACTCTTCTTAGACCTTCATTGATAAAGTATTAACTAAAATCTTCAACTTTATTAACAGTTAGGTTTTTTTATTTAAATTTCAGTGGTGTATTTCTGGTGTCTGTAAATTTGATGAATGTGCGCCCCCAGGTGACGGTAAAATCATGTTTGTTTCATTATAGAATCTTATTTGTGGGAAAAACGGTCAAACACTCTACGTATATTTCATAATCATGATTGATGGTGTATCCTTTTTTGACGTTCAATTATACACTGTATACTTTCTTTTATAATAATTGTTTGAATGGATGAATTTAAAGGTACTTGGACACAGATATGAAGTTATTATTTTCTCTATAATATTACGACTTATATATTTTAATAGCATTTCACACAAAAATTAATTAAAAATCTTATTTCATATAAAAGATATTAAAATTTCAAATTTTTTGGCGGGTTTGATTGACACATCATGCACTTTCAAATTAATTTTATTCTTAATCCTTAGGAAAAGTGGCAATCTCGTTGTGTATAAATGAAAAAACATTAATACTATAATCCAGAAAATTCAGAGTAGAACATGTTCGAAATGAAAACAAACACACAGTATATTGTCAGTCCGTGCAGTTGTGGTAAGCAGACTGTGACGATTGAACGCACCCGGTGAATTGTAAACATCAACAATAACAGAACTCGTGCCCTGTTTACAAAAACTGTGTACATAACACGAGTGTGCTCGATTTGCTAAACTCTGTACGCAAAAAAAAAAAAACTTAAAGTAAAACTCGCCCAAACGTCAAAACCCTATTTCGTGGGGGGGGGGGGGGGGGGGGGGGGGGGGGTAGTGGTGACTTCTATTGCCACAAATCTTTAACTTTTCATACACATTTTACACATATTCGTGTTTCCCAGGGGGGTCTGCGTTTTCCAAGGGGGGTCCATGGTAACTTTTTCCTTGTTTTAGTATAATTATGCATTTTTAACCTGGTAAATTCCAGGGGGGGTCCTGACCCCCCCGACCCCCCCCCCCCCTCTAGATCTGCGCATGAAAAGTTTTGATATTTCTCATTAATACACAACAAGATTGCCACTTTTCCTAAGGATTAAGAAAAAAAGGTTAAAATTTGTGAAAACCCGCCAAAAATTTGAAATTTTAATAACTTTTAAATGAAATAAGATTTTTAATTAATTTTTGTGTGAAATGCTATTAAAATATATAAGTCGTAATATTATAGAAAAAATACTGACTTCAAAATGTGTGCGTCTGTTTATGAGTGAAAAATTCTCGAATGGGACGTTGAACAATATACAATTAATTAATCTGACAGAATCTTGTTTGTATGGAGATAGAGAGGGTGTTGCAATCACGTTTAATGGAGTGGAGACCACGTGTTCCTTTGAAGATATAAAGAGAAATCCAAGCGTTTGCTACTCAGTAAAAGACACTTGTTGTCGACAGTGCAGAAATTTCTATACTGGAATAATAGGTAATTCAATGAAGTTGTTCTTAAAGAAAAAAAAAAAGGAATGTGAGAAGAGTATATTCCTAAATATGATGGCATTAAAATGCTGACGATTTTAACCTTAAAAGTGACCCTTTGTGCTGTTCACAATAAAACGTACGATAATTTACTCGTATAAGTTGTATCTTTGGATTTGTGAATATTTTGTATGTACAAAGTTACATTTATAAAAACTCGAAACGTAACATCCAAATCAACTTATTGGACAGTTAGTTTTAAAACCATGTATATATTTATACTAACTATACTGATTTATTGCTTGATAAAAGGCTGTGAATATGGAGACAGAGCAAAAGGCTGTAGTAAGTCCATTTGTCCATGGAACCCTAGTCGTTGTTGTGGAACATGTTTCAATGGAACATTGAGTACACCGTCCTATGAGCCATCAACAACACAAAAGATCCTTAATGTTTGTAAGATGAGAGTCACAACACCATCTTCTCCAAGCAATACAGAAGGTAGGATGCTGCATTCAATGTGTTATATAGTGTGTTATCCTTTACAGAGAGTTTAGTATTGTGGTAGTTTTGACCCAATGGAAGGTCATTATAACGACCTTGGAATTTTCGAAATCCGGACACTAAACTAGATCGTTGAGATCCCAGTGACATCAACTTATTTGTGAATTACATGTCTCACTTTAAGATTGGACATACTCAGAAAAATCTTGTGGAAAGAGAATACGTTGGAAGACTCCACTGCAATTTTTGTTGAATAAAGTAGTAAAGACAGTAAATTTAGATTTACAATTTTGGCAAACGTCAGATTGCAAGATCATTTTGACAAAATATCAAACTCAAAATATTAAATTAAGTAAAAAGGTTTTTAGGGTCAAAAGCCCAATGACTTGAACAAATGTAATAAAATAATATATCCTTAATTCTAAAAATTATGGATAGTAAGTGTACTGTGCTGTACATTGAATACTTATTTTATGCAATACTAACAATCAGTAAATACGTCTAAATAAATTCTTCTTCAACACTTTATTAATGTAATCACTCAAATCACTGTTTTAAAACACTGAAGGAAAGACAATGGTTTGGACTTTTTTAACTTCTGCTTTACATAAAATATCAAAAATGCATATGATCACTTATTTGTTCTATGTCAGGGGTTACATGTATTATTGCTGAACAGTTTTGCATTGATCTCGAATTAGTACTCGTATCATGGAGAATGAATCATACTCTCCTTTGCCTTATATTGTGGGTAAAATATACAATGTCTTGCAAAGCTAAATATCTTGAGAAGGAGGTATAAATAGGATGAGACAAAGTTATTTATTTATTTTTTTTAATTTTTTTTTATTTTCGTACGTACCAATATTATTATCTTTATTTATTTTAGGGATCCATACCTACTTTATCTACGGTGGTGCAGCTGCTGTCAGTCTGAGTCTACTAATTGTTATCTGCATCTGCAGTATTTATCATAAACGAAAGCAGGAACCTAGAAAGGTTCCGAAGTCCAAACTCCATGGTTTTTCAAATCCTGCTATAGGATATATATGAAGACTGTAATATTAGGGATCAATACGAAATGCAAGATATGTATACCTCAGTTTTTGATTTCAAGGCATTAAAAATCATTTTAAATATGGAATATATTTCAAAAGACCTCCGATATTATATCGTAATGTTATGATTCACGTACAAAACACAAAACATTTCTTTTTGTATAACAAATCCAGAGTCAACTGTTATAGATAAATATTTACATTTGCAAAAAATTTTCTTAGATGAACCCATTGAAGAACTTATTAGGGGATCAGAGGTCATAACAACATCGAATATCACGGCGAGATGATATCTTGCCTACATATTTCTGTCACAGTAAAACTGCTTTCTGAACTTCTAAATTGATTATGATGAAAAGGATAAAAGAATTGAAATATATGTTTTTCATTCAACAAATATTTATTTGATCTTCCTTCGATGTGAAAAATGTTTTGAATAATATGATTAACCTAAAATCGTGCTTACCTTTTTTTTTTTTACCAGAAATACCTTGGAAGGTATGTTAACTGATACAGACAATACTACCACTTTTGAATTAACGATTATTGCTCTTTCATAATAAAAAAGAGATTTCCTGGTTTGGGCAGCTATATAAATATTGAAATTTTGGAGTGAGACAAAGTTTCAATACAAAACAACTTACTTCTAGGTCATTGGGCGTCACAACATAGCAACGTGAAACGGCGAACCCTTCGTGTAAAATATTCGTCTCAAATGAAATATAGGTATAATATTCAACCATTATAAAAAGTTCACTTTGGAGTGAACTTGGTTGGTACGTGATCAAATCTTCTGTGAAACCCTTTGACATTCACAGGATTTGATCAACCAAGTTTTCTTCCCAGAGAAATTTTTAACATTATTGTTTATTTCTTAAATTATTTGTAAATAAATACATAAAACAATGTTATATTAATGTGTTTGTTTTATTGGGTGTGATATCAGAAAAGGGTACAAATACAGTTCATATAATCTAAAGCTGTATTTTTTAATGTTCAAAACGTGTAAATTAAATATCAACAGAATGTATTGCATGAAACTTAAAACAATACATCTTAAAAAATCAAACACTATATACCAACAACGTCCACATTAATTGCAAAGAAAGAGTCGTCTGAGTGGCGAAGTGATGAGAGTGTTTGCTCTAGAGGATGTGAATCCAACTGTGGGACGTGGAGACTGGTCCTTCGAGTGAAACCGTATAAATCGAGGTCTCATATCGAGGTAGGTGCAGGTGCATATATAAGTCCCTCAATGCACAAAGACCGAAAGTGCCGAGTATAGGTTTAAATGTGAAATCCTCCAATGGCATTAATGACGTCTCTATATGAGTGAAACAAATTCAATTAACGTCAAATAAACAAATTAAAATCAGCAAACTTAGACAATAAAGTAGCTTTTTTGGAAAAAAATGTTTTTATGTGTTTGTAAAATCGGTTAAGAGATATAGTTAAAAGAATTTGGTCTCTCTGAGCCACTAATTTGAAAAGTTACTCCCTTTTTACAGATGAAATGAAGGATCTAAAACTGTGCACAAATTTTGTGCAATACCTTTAAACAAAAGTCTGAGTTCAAATAATATGATTAAAAAGTATTTAAATTTTTTTAATGATACATGTCCGAAATTCCACCCTTGGCGAGCTTGCATATTATGCATTGTCGTTAATTTTGAAAATCCAGGTGCACAATGGCAACATATCCTCTATAATTGTTAAACATCAATATTGCTTTTCCATGGATCTTCTTGTGAATAATAAGGATGGAAAGCTTATTGCCACATACTAAAACAGCATATGGTTGGCACAAATTTTGATATCTAATCAGGAAAATACAATATTTTTCCTTCATTAAACTTAACAATAAAGTAGCTTTTTTGGAAAAAAATGTTTTTATGTGTTTGTAAAATCGGTTAAGAGATATAGTTAAAAGAATTTGGCCTCTCTGATAATTTGAAAAGTTACTCCCTTTTTACAGATGAAATGAAGGATTAAAACTGTGCACAAATTTTGTGCAATACCTTTAAACAAAAGTCTGAGTTCAAATAATATGATTAAAAAGTATTTAAATTTTTTTAATGATACATGTCCGAAATTCCACCCTTGGCGAGCTTGCATATTATGCATTGTCGTTAATTTTGAAAATCCAGGTGCACGATGGCAACATATCCTCCATAATTGCTAAACATCAATATCGCTTTTCCATCTTCATCAAAGGATCTTCTTGTGAAACAACAGAGACCTAATAAGGATGGAAAGCTTATTGCCACATATTAAAACAGCATATGGTTGGCTGATACGAATTTCTCCAAGATGTGCATGATATCAGGAAAATACTTTAATATTTTTCTATTGTCACCAGAAACACGTTCATTAAGATCATTAATTGTGTTTTAGCTGAATCTGTGTTTTTATAATTTACATTAAAGATATAAAAATAACTTAATTAAAAATTATTATAAATAATATATCGTGTCTTTTATTAGTAAAATGATTGTTTCCTTAAAAATTGTTCATTGCAGGTTTTTTTTTTTACAAACGACACAAAGAGTGAACATTAACAATGCCTCATAACAATTCTTCTATATAAAGCACAACTACAGGAACGTGTAATTGGATTTTACTTTTTTTAAAATGAAAGATAATTCAAACAGATTGAATTACAAACTTGTTTGCAATTCGACCAATCGTCAGATGATATGATTGTGCAAAATTTATGAATGGGTCTGTGTAACCTGAATGTCTGAAATACTCAATAATTATATGTTGTAGACGGAAGGATTTGATCAAATACGAAATACGTTTTTCATTTTTTTCTGAGACTAAAGCAACAAAGTGAAAGTAAAATGCTTCGAGTATTGATTTTGATGTTAGGAATTGATTTTACCATTGGAATATTTCCGCATTTTAGAAATAGGGGAAACAACAAAGTCGGTATGTAATTAATTGTTTTTTTTTAAACTTTGAATATAGTTAAGTTGATATTCATTTGATAAGTTCATCAATTCATATGCTTCGCACATATGTTCATGTTTGCTCTAGTGTCATGGAGTAAGTGAAGGCATCTAACTTCTCGAAAGACTTTAAACAGACAAACTAACATGAAGTCTTCCCTCTATCTAGAGAAATGATATCATTCATCATAAGAAATAGAGGATATTCAATGTTTTGTAGTTGAATATGGAATTTATTTCACGAGTGGGACAGGATTTTTGATATTTTCACGAGTGCGAAGCACGAGTGAAAATATCAAAAAATCCTGTCTCACGAGTGAAATAAATTCCATATTCAACTACAAAACATTGAATTTTCTGTTTATTACATTTTAAAAAAAAAAATCTTTGATTTTTCTTTTGCCTCTGTCTTTTTGTAATACAGTCATAGGCTCGTGACGTCATAGTTGAGCGGTTGAGACGTCATAGCTATGTGAAGTGAAAACACTGTAAACATGGATTTAGCAACAAATTTTTGGCAATTTTGACACTTTTATTCGCTCTCAGAATGGTTTATTTATTTCCATCTATCCTATAATAGGTCAAGGAAGATTTTTTTATTGCAATCTTCGTTTTGGGAAGGGAAATCGAGAGTTTTCCCACACTTCTGATATTCGTCACACTGTGACAGGATATCATTTTGATATCCTTTCACACTGTGACAGGATATCATTTTTATTCAATGAATAAATTACAGTATTTCACGGGTAAAAATGTAATAATTACTTTTATTCATTCTTTCTAGACGATGTCATAGTGAAGATTAGAGGACTTAGTGATGACGGTATAAAATTAACAAATGGTTCCAAGCATTTATCACTGTCCGTCAACATCAGTAATGATTTTATAGACTTTGATCTGACCTGGAATCAAAAACTACAAACAAATACACCTATATACACAACTAATTCAAAAGGAATTGTAAAGATTCAACGTATTCAACAATCAAAGGTATAAGAGACTAAACAAGGTTTGCATTAATTATCATTAACGATATAGGTCCTCAGGTCTTTTAAAATTATTATAGATGCCAAAATTCAAATATGTATTTGTAATAGACTAATGTACGAGATATAATCCTTTTGGCGCAGTGGTTAAAATATCCGCTCTTACAGTGTATGTCGCGAAATAAGGAGTTGATCCTAACTTCGCTACTAGTATTTGAATCCACGATGTAACGCGGGGACTGGACCTTCGAATGAGACCATATATAGCGAGATTTCATGGTACAGAAGATGCTTGCACGAAAATGAAACCTCAATGCTCAAACGCCACAAATGCCAAGTACATCTTTAAATTTGCAGCAAACGTTGGCAAGTGAACTCACAATAGGAGTCCAAAATTTTCTCGAGGAGAGTTTGAATAAACAAACAAACAGACAAAGCAATTTGCTATTATTTTTGGGTTATCGTCTGTTCCTCTATTTCTTGTCATAACTCATTACTATGATGTATTGCTTACTTTGAATTCATACTTTGAATTCATACAACCAATATAGTAAATACAGAATCAAAATAATACCCGTACTTTCTAACTGATGGTGTTTCTTTTCTAAATATTGTGGAAATATTTTCTCTTGTCATTATAAACTTGACATTTTAAATTCAGAATGACTGGAATTTAACAGACACTGAGATTTTTTTTTACATTATATTACACCATTATGAAAATTAATGATAACTTGATGCTAATCTGTAATCGAATAACTAACCAATTCTCTAGCGTGTCATACCATATCTCATTTCTCTTTAAATCAGAAGGGTGTCTTTTAAAGACTGGTTTTATCCATTGAATAGGAGGTCAGATTCTATCAGGACGTGAGAAATGGAGCATCCTTAATGATTATGTCCAATAATTCCTACTTATGCATGGTATGTTGAATATTGAAAACAGGGTATTGCATGTATCTTGTAATTAAAAGTACGAACATGAAAAACCAACAAAATATAAACATAGAATAATAACTAATCAACTTCAAATATGCGAATTGAGTCAATCTAATTGATAGATTAGTACATTTCTATGATTTGACCTATATTTAGTTTATCAATGTTTCGTCCGTTATTTAGACAGGGATATTTCTATACAGAAAAAGTGAGTTTATACTGGAACCTGAATTAGAAGATTGCCTCCAGGTCAACGATAGAGACAAAAAGTACAAGATCACAGAAGTGGAGAGGTCACATGCATCGTTTGCTGATGCTTTGAAACCAAGTGAGTAAAAACAAACGTGTTGGTTAAGTTTTGTAGACTAATTTGTTTCTGAATCATATATTAACGTAAACTTTATTTTTGAGATGAAACATATGGAAAAAGGAACAGTATTCAGTCACTTGTGAGAAGGTCTTACTACAAACATATTTGATTATGCATAAAACATATGGAGATAACGAATTGTTATCAAGATCAAAAGTCCATAAAACAATACAAAATAGGAGTAGAGCAAACAGGGACCTCCAAAACATCAGAGGTGGGATCAGGTGCCATGGAGTGAGCATCCCCTGCTGACCGGTCATAACCCTGTGAGCTCCTTATTCTGATCAGAAAATAATGGAAAAATCCGTCGTCAACTCAGTGTATAAATAATGGACTGACAATTAGTATGAAAAACGTCAGTCTACATTTGACTCAATTATAAGTTGTATTTGCTGACAAGGTCATTGTATCGACCATAGAACTTACGAAATGATTACATGTACTTTAAACAAGACCTCTGATATTCTTGTTTCATCTTTTTTTTTTTGTCAATAATTAACCTCGTTTTAACAATTTTCCATATGTAGAGCATACTCTTGCTTATCAAATCAACTAAGAAATATGAACTCCGTATGCAGGTGATGAAGGGTATATTGCTGTCGTAAGTTTTAAAGTTGTTGACTTTGGTAAAACCATGTGATTTCAAATTGTCTAAATTGTTCCTTGGAGTTTTTAAGTATCCACATCTGAATTACACAGCTTCTTGAATATATTGTTGCACAGTACTTTTGAAGTTTCTCCTTCACTACTGTTAATACCTCACCGTTGAATTGAGGTAGAGGCTTGGTTGAGCATTCACTGGAACCTGCTATGTATCTTTGCTTGTAATGATTTTTTATGAAGTTTTGGAATCCATTATAGGTATGGTTGTTCAAAATCATTTTAATCTGATATTCTGATTTGCCTACATTCATTTGTCATGTGAATATCAAGCAGCTTTGAGTAAAATCTTCCCTAAGTACGAGACAATATCATTTTTTATTCATACTTTGCTTCTAAGATACATGGTCACTAACATCCTGCAATGAATGAAAATATACAATGTTTATTAAAATGCCAAATTTTGAAAAATAAGATTCATTTATGCTATTGAAGCTATTCCTTTAACAGAATCTCCGTAAATAAAATTTAATAACGTGAATACTTTTAAAAGCAGGGTTGGACCAAGGTGGACGTATCCATGGTATTAAGAGCAGAATAAACAGGAGAAGAAGACAAATAGATCACTACAAAATAGAGTTGTTCTTTATCATCGATTACTCCATCTATTCGTAGTAAGATCCTCATGGCTTGACTGTAACCAACTTTATTTCATCAAATTTAATTTCAAATTATATTAAACCTACTTCTTTTCTTGATTATTTAATTTTTGTCATTGTCGTGATATAAAGAGACCTTGACCTATGAAAAGTGTTTAATTTGAAATTTTAAGATTCCACTCTATAACAACTGTTCACCTCTGGAACAAAGAACAAGAATTCAAATGACATTTTTCTTTTCTATTATATAGTTGGTATACACAAAGCAAAGCCTCAAGTGTAACTTCCAAAGATGAAGGGGCGAAAGAAAGTATCCGACAGTTCTACTCTTTTGTTATCAATGGGGTAAATGGAAATTTTACAACTTCGTTGAAAATATTCAAATCAAATTAAAAAATTTGGACATAATAAAATACCGAAAAAAAATAAACTTTTCTCATTTGTAATCAGTCTTCCAATGTATTCATGAATGAACAAGACATAATATTTTCCAGATGGACGTTCGTTACAAAAATATCCAAACCTCTTCCTATACAATATCAATTCTGTTTTCTGGAATATACATTGCTGACGTGAGTACAAATCGGAAAGAAGACGTCTTGCTAATTTAATTGTTGCTTGATTAATGTGCTTAAAATAACCACTAGAAAGTTATCCCTCTTTGCATATTGGTAAGTCATTCTAGGAAATAAATATAGATTTTTGTATAATTCATTTTAAATTCTCTGTTGATTGATTTAATATTAAGAGAAATTTTTTTTACAAGATAGAATTTAAAAATAAACTTCTTAATCAGTAGATAAATTTAAAATGGATTATGATATGAATTTTGGGTAAATAATAAAAATGTCGAGTGACTTTTGTTTTGAATATGCCATTTAAATGTACAGTGAAACTTCAAGTTGTCTAATCCAACTGTTATGCTTCCGAAATACTGTCTAAGACTATATTAACTGTAAGTCCATTTTAAAAAAATAATAATTTTAAAAAAATTCTGATCTAAAATATTGCCTTATCTGACCAATTTCTTTGGAACCAATGGCAGATCAGACAAATTGTTCTGAACATGGAATAAACAAAAATGACAGTGAAACACATATAAAGGTAGAAAGAATTTTGTTTTATTGTGCTAAAAATGTATCTTTTTGATTTGAAAAATTTTCATCTAATAAACAGTACCATATTATTACAGAATGCCTCAAAATCCACCTTCACAGAAAATAACAAAATTTCATCAGTGTCTGGTACACAAGTTGACTCTAATGTAGCACTCACAGCCGTGACGTCATGGTTACAGGAAACTTCCGGGTTACCTCAAAATGATCACGCAATGATGTTTACAAGGTATGATTGGAGTTTATAATTCCTTTAAAATATAACTAAAGTACCTTTATTGAATATATTACTGCTTTAGAATCGGCGAGAGATACACATACGTTCATTCTTCAAATTAAGTTTAAAGATGTACAACAACAAAAACATTCAATAATTGTCCTCCAGTTTCAAAGCAGCTTTTTAATTTTATTTACAAGTAGAGTGTAATAAAATTGAGGGTTTCTTTAATAACGGCTACCTGTTATTTGTTGATAGATACGACTTTACTAAGGATGGTTCTTCAGACGTGGCAGGGTTAGCCTGGCTTGGAGCTGTATGCACGACCAAGTCTGTATCCGTAGCGGAGGACCACTTTGATTTTAACGTTATCACGACTGCAGCTCATGAATTAGGACATGGGTATTCAATCTAATATTTTTCATTGTGATATAATAGATTTTTAAGGGGTCACCTTTGAAAATAACAAATACGCCATCAATTTTTCAAAAAAAAAAAAAAAAATTGATACGTAATTAAATGTTTTTCATTCTTAAATAATGAAGGGTGTAATGTCTCTAATGTCTATTTATAGTCTATTTTGATAAAAGAATTTAACAACGACTTTTTATACTTAAATTCCATTTGATAAGAAACGTGAACAAATGATACAATCATGAACTGCTAATTAAAAGAAAAGCGTTTTTTCTTAATTTTCAGATTGAGTGCTGAGCATGACGGAAGTAACAATGCTTGCAGTGGTAACGATGCCTATATAATGGCCGCAACCTCTGTTCCGGTGGATAATCAAAATCCCTGGAAATTTTCCATATGTTCCACCAATTATTTCACGTCCTTCATCGACAAATTGAACAGGTAGATTTTCTTTTGTAGGTCACTCACAGCCCACCGTCCAAAAGTAGCAAACAACTACACGTTTAATCATGATCAAAATAGCTTTCATCGTGTTCATTAAAATATCTGAAAAGAAAGCACAAGAAAGAATTGAATAAGATCTTGTTGTAAAATATTAAAAATTTGATTGCATCTAATCACCAAGTCAATGTGAACCTAAAAAAATCCTAGACCAATGGCTGGTAGTGTAAATTTTATTCGTCACAAAAAGCACTTTTAATATAAAGATGAAAAACATAATAATGATCCGAACTTTAAAAAAAATATATTAATCAACATTTTGGTATGAAAATAGACGATATATATATATATGACGGGAATGCTTTAAATTCAGTAACACTCGAAAAAAGAAAACATAAATGAATTATCAATGCAGAATATAAGTTATGTGGATCAATCAAGCTTAGCCGAAATCAAAATACAATACGCTGATAAATTTAAAATTGTTGAACAAGTTTCAACCTTAAAATATAAGTTAGTTTGAATGTATTTTCTGCATGGTTGTTTAATATGCAATGTTTATTTGTAATTCATTTACCACTCAACAAAATTTATGTATCTTACCTAATCAAATCAATATAACAGGGAAAACAACAACTGTATGACGGTCTTAAGTCCAGAATACAACCCTGACGCACTAAAACATTACACAGCGCTCCCTGGAGAGATATTCGATGCTGATGCACATTGTCGACATATTGTGGGCTCAGGATCTTCATTTTGTAAGGTAAAGCTTGATTTTATAACATCCCAAAAATGAATAAAATTTCTGATAAATCGATCGATAACAGAAAATGTACGACTCTATAATACGAGAATAAGAGTTTCAGTTGGCCAGTGTTTTTGGAATCTTTGTCTAGGGACTATACAACCAAAACTTCACATCCATCTGTACCAAGTTATGGTGTAGGAAGACTGATGGGAGTGGTTTGTGCGTCTCAACTGTGGGAGGGGACGGACTTCAATGTGGAAATAAAAAAGTACATAAGTACATCCAATCTGCTGTATTCACACCTAAAATGCAATAAAATGCTTCAATTTCATACACTTCAAATAAAACTGAAATTGACATCGCTTACCATTTCCACTAGATATCAAATGAAACCTGTAATTACATACTTAGATTCGGATCTTTGATTTCAGTGGTGTATCGCTGGTGTGTGTAAAAGCGATGAATGTGCTCCTCCTGGGGACGGTAAGAAGAATATTCTATCATAGACTAATCAAGTCTGACTGTTGCTGTATATTTACATCCACTATTTTTTCCCCTTTATTTCTAATGAAGAACATTGCCAATAATCAGTGCATAAACGACACTAAGCAAACCATACATTATATTATATTAATATAAAAAATGTGAGAAAGTTTCTGATTACAATCATGAAACTGCGCTTAAATACATTATAACTGTTTTTACAGAAGCCTGTAGGAACATTATTTCATACAAATACAATATAATTTATGCTATTTCTGGGATCGTACGACGATTTAGCTCCAAAGAGGAGAATAAAGTGAATATATATGAATATAATACCGATAATATTGTACTTGTACAACGAGATTGGCTAAATCGCCGTAACGACAAAACATAACCCATCGTTTTTGTGGACAGGTAGATCGTATTTTGTATGTAATAGTTGAGAAGTTGATTCTCATGTAATTTTATGCTATTTTTTTTTTGGGGGGGGGGGGGCAGATTGCATAATACTTAGTGAAGATACTCTTTGCTTGTCAATGTTTTCTAGTCTTTTCTGTCCCCATTATTTGTACAAGTTTTATATTCGTCATTTTATAATGAAATGAAATTTTTTCAGTTCAACACTGTGTCATCGGTTTTTGCTTTTCTCGTTAAAGAATCAAGCTTAGTCAACTTGGCAATGTATTTCTACAATTAATAGAACATAAATTGTTTATTGTATGATGCAATGAGTAAATGACGTAAACTCGTTAAGAAAATCACGTTATTTTTCTTGCTTACATTTCTGAAATCCTAGCCAAATGCAATGGGACATGCATGGTTTAAAAATACAAAGCTAGATGTTAGAATTAGACATTTATTTTCTGTTTGTTTTAGAAAAATTAATGCCTGGCAATAACATGAATCATCTATTTTGAAAAGGGGGTGTCATTGAAGCTGGAAGGACAAAGCGAAAGACATTCAATAGTTAGCCGACATAAAATAAAGCAAGAAGAAGGATATGGAGATAACGAACAGTATGCAACATCAAACTCCGTAAAACAATACAAAATAGGAGCAGAGCAAACACGGACCTCTGAAACATCAGAGGTGGGATTGGGTGCCATGGAGGAGTGAGCATCCCCTGCAGACCGGTCACAACCGCCGTGTGCTCCTTGTCATGATCGGAAAATAACGAAAAAATCCGTCGTCAGTTCAGTTTATAAATAATGGACTAACAATTAGTATGAAAAACGTCAGTCAGCATTTGACTCAATAATAAACTGTATTTGCTGACAAGATAATTTTGTGAAAAACTGACGCCCCCAATTATAGATCATGGCGAAGGTTAGATTAAAATTTTATAAATGCAAGTTAAACCCCAACCAAGATCAAGGAATGAAATTGTTGGTACCCAAAGAAAGGTCTTGTCACAAGAAATTCGCTTGTAAAATATGACAGCAATTTTTGGAAAGATTATTTTTTTCAAAAGTAGGGCAATCTCCGAGATGAACCTCTATTGGGAGAATGAAAGTACTTTGGGAAAAGTGTTATCAAAAGGGATTCATAAGTAAAATTGACAGCCATGGCACCAACCTTTCAATGGTTATGGTGAGGGGATTTAGACACAGTTGCAATGTTAACAATTTATATTTCTATATAATTTTAGATTAATGATTTGATAGAACATAGATTTTTTGCGAATTCAATGAAATTCTTCATAAGTTAACTTGCATTTCGATCAGAGAATGGTTGATTCTCGCTGTATGGGGTTCAGCTAACGACAAAAATCCATGCAATGTTGTTTTGATGTAGTTTAAGGGTAGCAAAAACCTTCTTTTATTTAAAATATACTGTAGGGGGGAGAGTTATTAAAACATTCTCCTGAACGGATCTGGCAAGAAAGATACAGTAGTATACATGTGTATTGCCAATTATTGAACTATATGTTCCTGAGTTCTCCTGCCAAACTGAGCTTGTTTTTGGCAAAAACCGCTAAAAACAAAATAATATCATGTAGAAGTGAAAATGTCATTTATTAAACTAAATGACGAAAGAAGTAAAACACAGTTAATAAAACGGAGGTCAGAAAAGGGGACTCAAATATTGCACATCTTAAGGTATTGCACAATCTGACCCCAAACAGCATATAATGACAATGTAACATGATGTACATAGGAAAAAAGGGGTCAACCAGACTAGATTAAGGAATTCAAACACTGTGATCTTTCACAAGGTATGTATTTGAAGTTGACCCCCTTATAAGCATCATAAGATTCAAAAACATATACAAAATGCCCTAAACTGCTGACTGCTGTCAAAGAGGTTGGTTAAGCAAAATAACAAAACGCCATTATTCCAATAACCCTGTGTCTTTTTCCCCTTTCAGAATCGTGTTTGTATGGAGATAGAGAAGGCAAAGTCATCGAGTTCAATGGAAATAATGTAACCTGTTCCTTTGAAGACATAAAGAAATACCCTTTCCTTTGCTACGACATAAACACGCAATGTTGCCGACAGTGTCAAAACTTCTATACCGGAATAACAGGTTTGGAAATGGTTCATATTTTTATGCAAGAGGTACTTAAAGACGTGATACAACTTATAAATGATTATGAAAGAGAACTATTTTAATCACATGTGAAATATGTTGTCCATTTAATTAGTAGCCGCATTCAAATTGATTTGAAGCTAAAGGTTATGGTTTTAAATATGACAATCTAAATAAATGATATACTTACGTATGCATCTGAGATTTGTTCTGGAAGGAAGTTTGTCATAAAAATTGTCTTGTATTCAGAATTGATCATTCCTTGAACACTTCTTCTGTCATCTTTGTAAGCAATATTCGTCATAATTGTGACCAAGTAATCAATTGCTTTTAAATGTTGCTTTAAGGATGTGAGTATGGAGACAGAACTTCTGGCTGCTTATCAATACACTGTCCAAACAACCCCGATGTCTGCTGTGGAACATGTTACAATGGACCAGCAATAACGACGCCATCAGAGGAACCAACAACACAAAGGTACCGAAACCCGTGTAGAACAACAGTAAAGCTTACAACTACTGAACAAACAACCTCGGTATCATCCAAAACAACACAAGCACCGTTAACAACAACAAAAGAAACGATAACTACAGTACAAACATCTTCAAAATCATCGACCACAATTTCATCATCCCTGATAACAACTGTAGCATCATCAGCAACAACAAAGAATATCGAATCGCAGATAACAACCAGATCACAAAGTTCAACAGCACATACTGCAACACCTTCCACAGCGATGGAGACAACGACAATACAAAAGTAGGTCACTGTTTAAACATCTTTGCTAATAAATGTATATTTATAATAGTATTTAATATGTTTTAAGTTTTGAGTTTAGTATATATCATACAGACTTTATTTCATTTGCAGAGTAAATCTTCCAGGAGGTATTTTAGAAAGTAAGTTGCTTGACTATTATTAAATCACTTGAGCCAAAGGCTCAAGTGAGCTTTTCTGATCACATTTTGTCCGGCGTCCGTCTGTCTGTCTATCCGTCCGTCTGTCTGTCTGTCTGTAAACTTTTCACATTTTCGACTTCTTCTCAAGAACCGCTGGGCCAATTTCAACCAAACTTGCCACAAAGCATCCTTGGGTGAAGGGGATTCAAGTTTCTTCAAATGAAGGGCCACGCCCTCATTCAAGGGGAGATAATCGGGAATTAATAAAAGTTTGGTGGTATGTTTTAAAAATCTTCTTCTCAAGAACCACTGTACCAGGAAAGGTAAAACTTATGGGGAAACATCCTCAGGTAGTGTAGATTCCAGTTTGTTCAAATCATGACCCCCGGGGATAGGGCAAGGCCACAATAGCCGACCAAAGTTTTACATAGAAATATATAGGAAAATTCTTTAAAAATCTTCTTCTCAAGAATAGCAAAGCCAGAATTGATCATATTTATATGGAAGCATCCTCAGGTCGTGTAGATTCAAATTTGCTCAAATCATGACCCCCAGGGGTAGGGCAGGGCCACAATGGCCGACCAAAGTTTTACAAAGACATATATAGGAAAATTCTTTAAAAATCATCTTCTCAAGAATAGCAAAGCCATGAATGGTCATGGGACTACTTTTGGTTTTAAAGTTTTCAATAATAAATCAATTTCTACTTTTTCCTAGCCATAGTGCTCAGGTGAGCGATGTGGCCCATGGGCCTCTTGTTTTTAAGTATTTTAGGCAAAAAGCTTCAAAACATATGAAAAATGTCATTATCACTATTTTTTCTTTATTCAATTTAGACATATCAAGTACTTGGTAAATAAACATTCTAAGCAAACTTGATCGCGAGAAATGCCAATATCTTTGGAAGGGTGTCTTCCCACTTAGCCAACATTTTGAAAATATACAGGTAAAACACAGGTAAATCTGTGTTGGCTAAGTGAGAATGGGGTGCAGGTGGAGAACAAAAGAAATTAATTACAGGTAGGCTATAGGCTGATTGAAGGTGATTAAAATATTTATTAATTTTAGTCTTTATTAATTTGAGGCATGTATTGAAGAACAGTTACATCAGATAATCAAAATTAAAAAGGTCTTTCAAATTATTTTATGTAAAAAAGGGCTTTTGTGTAAATTATAGATATCAAGAATTTCAAACAATAACCCATGGCAATTATTTTTCGACATTACATTTAGTAAACAGAATAAAATTCAGTCAATTAAACTTTAGAAACGCTAGGTTTACAAGTTCAAAATGGGTGAGAATTTATATTTGAACGTAAATAATATTTATCATATACATCTACACTTAATCTCTTTTCATGTTTAAGCTAATAGATATGCCATATATGTATAAACATGTAAATTTAGGTATAATTCTTATAAAATAAAAATGTATAATTATAGATAAATTTTATAAATTGTTTATAGTCTTTCCTTCTTTTATTGTTTTAAAAATGAAAAACACAGAATATGCTGCAACATGTCTTTTTTAATGTACAAACATTTTTCTAAAGAGAAATAAAATAATTTTTGTGCATTTGTCATATAGCAGAGTAAAACTATATGTATAGATAAAACAAAATGACAGGAATTCAAAAAAAGTAAATTTGAGGACCAAATGGAACTCAATATATAATTAAATAAGCAGGGTTGTGAACTTCAAGTATGGAATGAATACTAGCTGTGACAGTATGTAAGTTGATTTCTTCATCGGATAATAAAGCACTTTGTGTGGGCTTCTTTTACTGTTGTTCATGCATTACCAGGATCAAATATTATGACACTCAGATAAATATTTTTTAATCTCAAATGTTAATTATATTAGTGCATTCAAAATTCTTTCACTTTTCCTTTTTGTTTTATCATTAAATACTTTATTTCTTATAAAATTACTCTTGTAATTTTTATTAATATCTAATTCTTTTATTAATATTAACTTATTTATTTAATATTTAATTTTTTCTTTAAATGCAGATGTGTATTAAGTTTAGTACATTTATAAAAAAAAATATTTGGAACTTATTATTACTCTAATTTTATAATTATTTTGATTTATGTATTTTTACACCTTTCAATGGTAGTAGTTCTCAGGTAATCCATATATACGCGTACCTGAAAACAGACTATAGCCTGTTGATCACTCAGGTGTAAAAATCAAAATGTTGGCTACTTGGGAATAGGTTTTTTCAAAATGTTGGCTAAGTGGGAATAAACCTTTGGAAGTTAACACATATTTATTTAAAACCAAATCATTTCAAATGCTACAATTCTATAATTTATTCCCTGTGGATCTAATTTTTGCTATGTACGAGATACAAATTTTCAACATAAATCGTCATAGCGTACATAAAGTCATAAAATGGCAAACCAAGTAATCGTAGCAACATGGATTTAACGTTTATTTTGATTCCATTATAAACCAGCGGAAAAAGTTAGTTTACAGTTATCCTTTGCTAACTGCAGAAGAAATGTTAAGTTTGCTGCTAGGTTTATTTAATTTTAAAAGAGCCATATTTGTTGTATTAAAGGAAATTTATTAATAGTTGAAGATTTTTGTTCAATATTTAGTTTTCTAATATTAAAATGTTTTCATTTCAGAGTACCGAGATTACATAATATATGCAGGAATAGCTGCTTTCGTTTTGGTTTGCTTGTTCATTACTTGTATTTGCTGTCTCCATAAGAAACGAAATCAGACACGAAAGAAAGTGATGAAAACGCAACGTCATAGATTTACTAACCAAGCAATAGTATGCTTGTACTAAAGCGTTTATTTCCAATATTTAAAGAAAATGCTAGATGACAATTTTCTTAAGTTGTCTCTTCTTCCTAATACTAGTCAATACATACAGCCAACGGCGGGTTCGATCGGGCCACAGGGATGCTTACTCCTTCTTGACACCTGGTGCTTTTTATTTCACTTATTTCGCTTCTAAATTTACTGTGATATATCGAGTCGACATATGGAAGGAAATATCTATTTGTTATATCATTTCCATTTAATCAATGAAATGATGTACATATTAAAATTTGCATGCACCTGTCTATATAATATACTAGCGGAAAAAAGAAACTGTGCATTATTTCTTACATGAATAGATAATAAAAATAACACCGAACAAATTTTTATTTCTATTAATACTATTAACAAATGCATTCATTACAACAATTCATAACCCATAAACGTTAACGTCAAACAACGTCAATTTAAGAACAATCGAAAGACACTGGTATTCAAACTTGAATTAACAAAGTTAATAACGTGTGTGACCACTATTTGCATTCACGCATGCTTGACAACGGCGCCTCATGGATGACAACAGAGTGTTCAGAAATGCTTGGGGGTGTTGTTCCAGATGTAGGCTTGGCCTAAATCAGCCAACGTCACTGGCTGATTCGGCAAACGACGTAGACGTCGTTCCATTTCATCCCAAACGTGCTCAATCGGCGATAAATCAGGGGAAACAGCTGGCCAAGGCAAGACATCGACATGCTGTTGAACGAAAACGTGTCTGACTACACGTGCGACATGTGGCCTCGCGTTGTCTTGCTGTAGAGTAATGTGATTTTGCTGTCCCTGTATGAAGAGTATCACATGGCGCTGAATAATTTCGTCTCGATAGCGTGGGCCGATGAGACTTCCATTGACAATTTGTGGAGGGGTCCTTCCACGTGCTGTGATTCCACCCTACACCATAACACTACCCCCACCGAATTGCCGCCGTTGCACAACACAAATGTCTTGGTACCGCTTCCCAATGCGACAATACATTCTACAACGGTCGTCACTGCTATCCAAATGAAATCTGGACTCGTCCGTGAATAGAATATTGGCCCAGTCCTGTAGTCTGAATCGCAGATGTCGTGTGCACCATTTTAGTCTAGCGATACGATAACGTTGAAGCAGTACTTGGCGCACAGCTGGACGTCTTAGTCTGATGTTGCGCTCGCGCAGACGATAACGCACAGTTCTTAGACTGATTGGTCGAAGTCCAGGAATGCTTTTTACCAGTCAAACTTGCTCCTGGAACCGATTTTCAGGTGCACGAGTCTAATGCGCTTGTCCTGTCGATGCGACGTCACGCTAGAACGCCCAGAACGTGGTCGATCCCGAGTGTTACCAGATTGTTGAAATGTTCATAATAATTGGATGGTGTTCCGATGAACTCCAAAGTGTCTTGCAACGATATCTTGTGCCATTCCAGCTTGAAGCATCCCAACAGCAATATTACGTTGGTTTTCGCCTCGATAGCGTGGGCAGGTGAGACTTCCATTGACAATTTGTGGAGGGGTCCTTCCACGTGCTGTGATTCCACGCTACACCATAACACTACCCCCACCGAATTGCCGCCGTTGCACAACACAAATGTCTTGGTACCGCTTCCCAATGCGACAATACATTCTACAACGGTCGTCACTGCTATCCAAATGAAATCTGGACTCGTCCGTGAATAGAATATTGGCCCAGTCCTGTAGTCTGAATCGCAGATGTCGTGTGCACCATTTTAGTCTAGCGATACGATAACGTTGAAGCAGTACTTGGTGCACAGCTGGACGTCTTAGTCTGATGTTGCGCTCGCGCAGACGATAACGCACAGTTCTTAGACTGATTGGTCGAAGTCCAGGAATGCTTTTTACCAGTCAAACTTGCTCCTGGAACCGATTTTCAGGTGCACGAGTCTAATACGCTTGTCCTGTCGATGCGACGTCACGCAAGAACGCCCAGAACGTGGTCGATCCCGAGTGTTACCAGATTGTTGAAATGTTCATAATAATTGGATGGTGTTCCGATGAACTCCAAAGTGTCTTGCAACGATATCTTGTGCCATTCCAGCTTGAAGCATCCCAACAGCAATATTACGTTGGTTTTCGCCGAGTCATGGCATAACAAACGGGTAAATTTTGTCACAACTTAAGTGTTTTTCTTAACGAATAGAGTCCAAATAAACCTTATACAGTTCTTTTTCCAGACAGTTCTAGCCAGTAAAACTTGTGCGCACGAAAACGTAAATAAGCAACTTGTGCTCACTAACCATGAAAAGCCCGTGCATCAGAGTCGGGATCTATCCGATATTGTTAAAAAACATCACCTTTATCGATTGTTTACATTTTACTGAAATAAGCAATAAATATTGGAAAACATTACTAAATTTCATAATGCACAGTTTCTTTTTTTTCGCTAGTATATAATACTAGTAAAGAACTGACATTATTTTGTTTTTTATCTTTCAGAGATTCGCTGCCACCGAGCAAAAAGGACTCAGAAACAACCACAAAGATAGTAGATTTTGAGTTCATCGCATTGTGTTGAAAAAAAAACCCACCTGAAGTGTTTAAGTGTTATGTTAATTAATATAACCACAAATGTATTCATGGAGACATAATCAAAATATTTTATGAACAATTTTAACGAATCAACAAAAATATGAACATGTTTTAGCCTGCTCTCATGGTGTTATAAAATTTATATTTAAGCATTCTCGCTGCCAGATCATCAATAAGAATTTTTCTTTAATTTTCAATAGAAAAGTAAGTCATTTTTGTGTCTTATTTTGGTATTTTTTTCTGTGAATCCATAGAATTTATTATATATACTGGTAATATTATAGAGAAGGTTCATAATTCTCTTTGAGTGTTGTTCTGACATATTTTCCTTCTTTTTATCCGATTTTATGAGTTGCTCAGGAAAATTGAAGTTAACATCTTAAACCTTTTTTGCAGAACAAACACGGACCTATTATATGGAGATAACAAACAGTATTCCGGATCAAAAGTCTATAGAACAATACAAAATAGGAGCAAAGCAAACACGGACCTCCAAAAACATCAGCGGTAAGATTAGGTGGCAGTGAGAAGTAAACATCCCCTTTGGACCAGTCACATTCGCCGTGTGGTCCATGTTATGATTGGGTTAACGGTAAAATTGGTAGAGGTAGACATTTCCGTGTGTAAATAGATGCCGGTTGACGTTCTCGTACTAATTGTTAGGTCATTATTTACACCCATGAATAGTCTAAGGATTTTTTTTCGATTATGACAAAGGGCACTCGGCGAATGTGAACGGTGTGATCCCGACTGCTTAACGTTTAGAGGTCCGTGTCTAGATGTGCTCCTGATTTACTTAGTATATTGTTTAAATATAATTTTTATCTTGATTACTGTTTGTTATCTCCATATATTTCATAGACATTCACTTGTCAATTTTTAGATAGTAAACTTGATCACATACTGATTGGCGTAGATCACAGTATATATATATATGTGCAACTGAAAATTAATAAAATTCTGCCATTTTTCCCTACTTTTGCGAAAGCAAGGGGACATTAAATTCCATTCGTCTGTCAGTCTGTCCGTCTGTCACAAAACCTTTCACCTTGAATGCATATCACCTGTGACAAGACCTCTCTAGAAACGTTATAATTTTTTACCCCGTGACCTTGAAGCTTGACCAACTTTACAAAACTTTAAACATTACTTTGAATTGGCCCTAAATTTGAATGAGAAGAGATACGGCTTATTAAACATGTAAATTATTTGTGACGAGACCTTTCTCAAACACTATGATTTATGGCCTCGTGACATGGAAATTGAAGTTTAACCTACTTTTCTAAGACTTTAACCTTCGTCATAACTTTTGAATGAGAAGAGATAGAGCTTTCATTTTCAAGCTGTTTATTACCTGTGACAAGACCTTTCTAAATTCACTGATTTTTTACTCCGTGACCTTGAAGTTTGACCTACGTTAAAAAATTAAACATTACTTAAAATAGACCATTAATTCATAATGAGAAGAGATAGGACTTTCATATTATACAAGTGTATTTTTGTGACAAGACTTTTCTAAATACACTATGATTTTTACATCATGACCTTCATCTTGATGTTTGTAATTATTTCAAAAACTTTAACCTTGGTCATAACTTTTGAATGAGAAAAAAGGTAGGGCTTTCGTATTATACATGTCAATTGCCTGTGACAGTACCTTTCTATATACACTATGGTTTTTTACCCCATGACCTTGATGTTTGACCTACTTTTCAAAAAATTTGATTTTTTCTCATAATCTTTCATTTAGAAGAGATAGGTCTTTCATTTTTGACAAGTGCATTACTTGTGACAAGATATTTCCGAGCATGCAATGATTTATGACCCCCTGAACTTTATGATTGATCTAATTTTAAAAAGAAAATCAACTTCAGTGATAACTTCTGAATGACCTATGGTAGGGTGTTCACATTTGATACTATATGCCATAAAAGTGACATCTCACCCACAAAGACACAGAAAGCTGGGGACAACAATTCTTTGAATTTGCTTGTTATGACTAAGCTTCGAAGTAATGGCATATTTAATACTCTGGCAACAGAAAAAAAAGGAAATGATCATATCATTTTAGATGTTTGTCTACGAAAATATTTCAATAAACATGGAACATCTAAATGATCATCAATTCATGATTACTGCAGGAGGGAACCATAACAAAAGCAAACATTTGCCCTAGTCATGTTTCTGTCCCATTTGTTATTAAAACTATTCTTTTTATTTAGTTTTGTCTGTCCTACCTTCTTTAATCAGACATAAAAAATTAGGATAAAAATAAAGCAAAAAAAATTCTATGTAAAGTATGTGAAAGTAGAAAAACAAGGGAAGCTGGATTATCAAAATATAAAAAAAAATAGATAATACATCACTAACAAATTATTATATGAATAAAATTCATAATATTCATATAACTTCTTAAAGTTTTTCTTAATACTTTGCTTATTTACCATATATATCTTAGTTTTGTCGAAATGTAGCGCCAAAAAGTGACAACGCTACAGAAAGAAACCATACAAATAGGTAGGATAACGAACTATCGTTCATCTTTTTAAATAGTAAATTCTTTCTATTTAGAGGAAATTCTTTTACATTTACTGTTTGAAACTTTGCAAATTTGCATTGACCCAGGGGTGGATCTGTCATGATTCTAAATTTTAGAAAGTTACTCTGGAAAATGCAGCCTTTTCAGCATAGAAAGAAGTCAAACAGATAAGAAATTACTGAGTATGTTATATTATTAAAATATTGCCAGTTACGGGAGCTATAGTGTGCCAGTGTCTACGTTTCTGCAAAAAGGTACTGCTTCAAAAGAACCAATAAAGCGACGATGTAATTAGCAAGAAACCATAAAAAATCATTTGGAAATACTGAAACCCAACTTTCGTTCGTGTCATTTTTTATTCGCGATTCCTCCGTTTGAAATCAAACCGCGATGATTAATTTTCGCGACAGAGGAAACATTCGCAAAAAATACGAAGCAAAATAAATGGTTCACAGCGATAAATATTTGGGAGTTAAAAAAGGTTGCAAACTCGAGAATATTTTTGCACGCGAATAAAATTTCGTTTACAAATGTTGTAACTTACCAACCAAAAGTATATCAATGTATACCAATTTATTCTTTAAATAAAGGAAATATTATTAAAATAATGTTAACAATCAGTTTTATTTTGTTGCCTCGATACACAATACGAGAGTTGTCGGAAAGTTTGTGGACTTCTGTCACATCTTTTTTTTTTGTGATGTCATATGTTATCCAAATTTGGTAGAAATATTTTAACAATAAATGCAAATGATTTGTATCTAAATGTCATGATTATTAAAAACTTTGTCAAGACAAAAATCGGATCGCGGAGCATGTCAAACTTTAGTAAGTTACAAATAATACACTGAAAAATGTCTGTTATATGACTAAGTCTTATTCTCTGTAAAATGGAGTAAAAACTGAAAAACACATAGGAATTCAAATTACGAATTGCTGCATAACAATGCAATTTGTGTTTTACTCTGGAAAAATCCTGTATAAACTCTAACAATAGGCCCAGGGGCCACATCGCTCACCTGAGCAATTGGCTATGAAAAATCACACATCAGATCAGAACTGAAAGTTTGCTGAGGGGGGGGGGGGGGCTTGCAATTTTGGGGGTCATGATTTGAACAAACTTGAATCTACACTACCTGAGCATGATTCCCTATAAATATTACTAAGCATGGCTTTAACGTACTTGAAAACAAGATTTTAAAAGGTTTCCCTAGATATTCCTATGTAAAACTTTTATCGGCCATTTTGGCCCCATCCTATTCCCGGGGGTCATGATTTAAACAAGCTTGAATCTACACTATCTGAGGATGATTCCACATAAGTTTCATCTTTCCTGTCTCAATGGTTCTTGAGAAGAAGATTTTTCCTATATATTCCTATGTAAAACTTTGATTGGCCATTTTAGCCCCACCCTACCCCCGGAGGTCATGATTTGAACAAAATTGAATCTACACTACCTGAGGATGATTCTGCATGAGTTTCATCTTTCCTGGCCCAGTGGTTCTTGAGAAGAAGATTTTTAAAGATTTTTCCTGTATATTCCTATGTTAAACTTTGATCAGCCATTTTTGCCCCACCCTACCCCAGGGGGTCATGATTTGAACAAATTTGAATCTACACTACCTGAAGATGATTCCACATGAGTTTCATCTTTCCTGGCCCAGTGGTTCTTGAGAAGAAGATTTTTAAAGATTTTTCCTGTATATTCCTATGTTAAACTTTGATCAGCCATTTTTGCCCCACCCTACCCCAGGGGGTCATGATTTGAACAAATTTGAATCTACACTACCTGAAGATGATTCCACATGAGTTTCATCTTTCCTGGTCCAGTGGTTCTTGAGAAGAAGATTTTTAAAGATTTTTCCTATATATTCCTATGTTAAACTTTGATCGGCCATTTTGGCCCCACCCTACCCCCAGGGATCATGATTTGAACAAACATGAATCTACAATACCTGAGGATGATTCCACATGAGTTTTATCTTTCCTGGTCCAGTAGTTCTTGAGAAGAAAATTTTTAAATATTTTTCCTGTATATTCATATGTAAAACTTTATTCGGCCATTTTGGCCCCATCCTACCCCTGGGGGTCATGATTTGAACAAACTTGAATCTACACTATCTGAGGATGATTCCATATGAGTTTCATCTTTCCTGGTCCAGTGGTTCTTGAGAAGAATATTTTTAACGATTTTTCCTATATATTCCTATTTAAAACTTTGATCGGCTATTTTGGCCCCACCCTACCCCTGGGGGTCATGATTTGAACAAACTTGAATCTACACTACCTGAGGATGATTCCACGAGTTTCATCTTTCCTGGCCCAGTGGTTCTTGAGAAGAAGATTTTTTAAAAATGCCATTAATTTTTTTCTAATTCATAATTATTTCCCCTTGGAAAAGGGCGTGGTCCTTCATGTAACAAACTTGAATCCCCTTTACCCAAGGATACTTTTTAGCAAGTTTTGAAATTGGCCCAGTGGTTCTTGAGAAGAAGATGAAAATGTGAAAAGTTTACAACAACGACAACGCCAACAACGACAACGACAACGACGACAACGACAGACAACGGACAAATTAAAAATTTAAAAAAAGCTAAAAATGTTGGAAAAATAAAATAAA